GAATTACTTATACTTATATTTTGTTACAAATATACTTATATGAATCTTTCCTAAAAATAACATTAGAATATAGAATAATGCATTGATAAAGATAATAAAAATGGCATTTTAAACCTAATAATTTTATTTTAGGGCTCAACTGGGAGCTTTTTTTTTCTTATTATTTATTTATTTTTTAACTGGGAGCATGAAAATTAAAATTGTGTTGTTAAAATACTAATTCTATTATTTTTTTTTTTAACATAAAAAAAATTTAAAATTTTGAGTTAAATAGTGGCGAAGCTAAAAATATTTCTTGGCTGGGCATAAATGAGCTATTCTAAAAATAGCATCAATATTTTTTAATGGATATGTATGATACAAAACTTTTTAAAATTTTCTCTAATATTTATTTTTCCATAAAATTTTTATTTTTTACAATTTTATTTTAATAGATCATATTTTAATAGATCATATTTTTTACCATTTTATTTTTTCTAACAAATTTGTTAAAAAAAATTCATATATATATATTCTTGTTATGAGTATATATGTTTTCCATTGGAAAGATAGGCAAAAAATATGTCGGAAATCCGTCAAAAATTTTTCGTTGGAAATCTGCCGGAATTTGTGACGAATTTACTTCCGCCAGAAATTTTGACAGAAATTAATTATTTTCATGTAATGTTAGTACCAATTGGCTCGTTATGAAAAGAATCTCAAAGCAATACATGTAAAATAAAGGTTTATTATAAACAATTCAGTCTATATATTTGCATGATTGATGACTATCACCATTACAAATTTCATAGTAACATTTTACAAACAAAATCAATCCTAATTTTGCTCCACAACTATAACATCAAATGGGCTTAAAATTAATTAGATAGATTCGGTAGAAATAATTTCAGTTTCAAGCCCATACTTAATCCAAAGAATGGTAGTGAGAGGAAGGCAGTCTCATGGGAGTTTTTTAGGTAAGATGTCCAAAATATTGCAAATTTGATCCTTGCAATTATCACCAACAATTTTGGAGAAGTATATAGTAGATTTTTTAATGAGAGTGGAAAGCTCTTGGATCATTTTGAATGTTTCAAGAGTATTATTAAGGCATCTAATAGATCTGATATCTAAAGAACTGTCTTTTAATTCTATTTTCTTTCCTCGATTTCGTTGTTATAGTGGCCTTTATGCAATTGATTGGATCATATAGATTTCAACACAATATAGGTCATCGAAAGGATCTCAGACGACTCAATCTTTTATCCATACTCAATATAAATTAAATAGAAAGAAATAAAAATAGGATTTTTTTTCTTGTTATTGGATCAAAAATACCATTTCATTTTCCCGCTTTATCCTTTTCTATCACATATTTGTATACACTTATCTAATTCTTATTATGTTACTTATATATTTTTTCTTATATATAATATATAAAATATACATAAAAATGTAGTATACAACTTGGATGAGAATAAAATATATATTGTTTCCAAGTAGTCATTACGGATACACGAAGAAAGTTTGTTCGGAAGGTATGTGTTGGTTCAAGGATCGGAAAATGGCTCGTTAGCATGAATCTAGCTTCACAAACTTATGATTACATTCTCCTTAAGTCATATTATAGTTAACCAAATTTTTCTTGAGGATGGCATCAGGGTTTAGTTAGATCTGGGTCTTTACTTCTTATGAGAGCAAGCCCTCATAGTTAATTACCCCTCATACTATTCAAGAGAGAACTCTCAATTAAGGATGAAAATTTTTATAGAGGTAAACCCGATCAAGATCCTATGGTTGCATTGTCCCAAGTATACCAAAGGTTTCAATCTACCAAAAATAATAATCATTGATTATAATTCTAGGAAATTTGATTAGTAGTCATGGGTTGCCTCCTCTCAATGATCCTGAGTAGACTGAAGTGATTATAGGTGGGTTGTAATTTTATAAAAGTTTGGGATTTACATCTGTCATAATATCCAATGGTTAAATTAATTTGGGATATATTATTTCATTTAGAAGTTACCCAGTTAATTTAATTAGTTCGGGGCTTACAACTTTCGTCTTATGACTTCCATTGGAAGTTATCGTAGGTTTACGAAGTGGGTCTTACGACTTCTATTAGAAGTAGCTTGAATAGTAGGTCTTACATCATCTTTTGAAAGATATCTTATTTTTTTAGTATGTATTACGATTTCTGTGTTTAGAAGTTGCCTATTTATTTATTTAGATATATCTTACAACTCCCTTTAGAAGTTATATGTTTGTTAATTTGAATAGGACTTACAACTCCCTTTAGAAGTTGCATATTTATTTGTTTTGATATGTCTTATGACTCTCTTTAGAAGTTGGCTATTGATTTTATTTTAGAACGGTTCTTATTTCTTCCCTTTGTAAGTAACCCTTATGTTTAAGAGGCTGGGTCTTACTACTTTCATTGAAAGTAGCCCATGTTGATTTATAAAAGAGGGTAATCAATCATAAGTAGCCCATTTATTTATTTGGACAAGTCTTACGACTTCTCATAGAAGTTGCATGTTGATGGGTTTTAAACCTATCTTTATAGTAAGGCTACGTGATTGTTTAAATTTGGTTAACAAGACTTATAACTCCCTGAAAGTTACTTGTAAACATATCTTAAAACCTAGCTCTATAACAAGGCTACCAATTTTTTTGAATTTGGTTGATAGATCTTATGACTCCCTTAAAAGTTGCATGTAAATGGATATTACAACCTACATCTATAGCAAGACTGACCGATTATTTGAATTTGATTAACATGTCTTATGAATCCCTTAGAAGTTATCTGTAGATGGGTCTAATAGCTTAGCTGTAAAGCAAGGCTGCCCAGAGGTTTTGGTATGGCTTACTACTTCTCACAGAAGCTGCCTATAGACGAGTCTTACAACCTAGCCTTATAAGCAAGGCGGCTCGTAGGTTTCTGTTTAGGTTTTAGAGTTGTTGTACTTCACTTATAAGTTTTTCTAATATGTGGGTCTTATTGCTTCACTTAGAAGTTGTCCATTGATTAGTCTTATAACCTAGCCCAATAGTCTAAGCTACATGTAGCTTTTGTTTGGATAGGTTTTACGACTTCTCTTAGGAAGTAGCATGGTTGTTTTATTTTAGAATGGGTCTTACTGCTTCCCTTTGGAAGTATCCATACAGTGGAAGGTTTAAGAAGTCGGGTCTTAATGTTTCTATTAGAAGTAACCCAATGGTGGGTCTTACAACCTAGCCCTATAGGCTAAGCTATCCGACTGATTTAGATTTAGATTGAGAGTTTAGTATTTCTCTTAGCAGTCTCTCTTAAATAACAGGTCTTATAACTTTTTGAAAGATGCTTATTTGTTTTAATTTAGGGTAGATCATATAAAAGTTACTTTAGTTCAATTCCTTACTATCTTCACACAAGTATTTTCTTTTAGTACCTTTTTTTTTCTTTCAGTACCTATTTTTTTATATTTCTTTGTTTTGTCAGATTGATTTTAGTGCTGAACAATTTTATTTCTTACTTGCATGTTGTGCCTGCATGAGCTTACTTGGAGTGTTGGAGCTTGCACAAGTGTTAGGTTTTGTAGAGTTTGGAGAGCTTGCTTAAGAGTTGTTTGAGAGGTCTAAGTTAAGTTGGGGTGTGTTGAGTTTGAGTATGAGTTTGTTGAGTGTTTGTGAGTTAGAGAGTTTGAAGATTAGTTGTTGGTGTTTAGCTTGTACTTAGGGTTGATTACTAGAGAACGCATATTCTTTTTTTTTTTTTGTTCTTTTATTAATAAAAAATTCTTATCATTGTGGCTCTCTTCATATTTTTTAAAATTGTGCTCAATGTAATTTAAATAAAAAATTAATCTATTTTAATCAATTAAAATTTAATTGATTGATTAATTAATCTCTCAATTAATTAAAATTATTATAGAATATATTAATTATCAAATTAGATTTCAAATTAAATTTGAAATTAATTGATTAATTATATTTAATTAACTAAAAGAAATTTCAATTTTTATTTTAAATTAATTGATTAATTTATTTTGAAAATATTTAGGCTTTTACAAATATGCAAATGGACCCTCGAGACCCATTTCAGAATACATGCAGACTCTCACATATGCATAAAACATTCCCAGACACTTGCAGAAGGATTCAAATATAAAAATTTAACAAATTATCCTGAATCTGATCGGGTCATAAAGGGTTGAATGGTACACTAACTTTCTAGGTGTTAGAGCCACAACCTTTTTATATACCCTTTCAATCTTTTGAAGCAAAGTAAATGGCAATTTGGGCTTGTTAATTGTTGTTCATGATAATATTAGAGAATAAGTTTTTGGATGTGATAGTCTTGTCTAAGTAGGTTTGATTATGCTCACTTGAGTGTGGAGGGAGGCAGTAGCATACTGCAAAGTAGAGGTGTTCTGTAACATTGGAGGCTAAGATAAGAAATTTTTAGATGTTTTATTGGCCATTCGAGGAGAGAGAGTAGGGAGTTTCATTTCCATAACAGATGTGGAGATGGGTATGCTTAAGTTAGATGTAACAATGGGTTATTTTATAAAAGGATAGGAGGAGGAGATAACTTTGTTATTTTCTTAGGAGGTTGTACCCCTTCTTCAATTATGACTTTGTTATAGATGAGAACTATATGTAGGATGGGAAGGGGGTTGGACAATTAGAATCAACATGTGCAAAAGTACCTAAAAAAGTGTAAGATGAGGGCCTCCATTTGTAAATAGGAATTGAGATATCTTTACCTCTAATGAAAATTATAATGGATTCAAGAAGAACAAAAATAGTAGGGTTTTTCATACCTACCCTTACAATCTTACATATGTTAATCTAGTTTGTTTAGCCATGAGAGAATCCACTAGTAAAGGAAGACCAATTTTACAAGTAATCTTTTTAAAAAAATCCCATTTTAGGCCATTAACATCACAAACCATAGTACACTAAGGCACATAGGAGGAAACCATAAAGGAGAAATATGAGCCAAGGATTAAAGAAGAAGAAAGAGTTGCTAGTAGAAATCCTAGGAGAGCAAAACCCTAACATAATAGAGAAAGTTCTGTTAGTTTTTATTGTATGATTTTTTCCGGCAAATGACGTATCTTTATTAATTGTTCTGTTTTTTTGCTCATTCAACCGCAATGCTGTGCCACATTTTTTTTTTCTGTTCTTCAGAACTAAATTTTAGTATGTTCCAGTCTTCCAGATCCAAAGAACCGATTTTTAAAGAGAAAAAGGGCGATTTGGTTGGTAAAATCCCCAAAACCAGCGGAAGGGAAATAGTAATTACTGAAAGCAACGGAAAGGGGCCAGCGAGATCCAACTTCCTTCCAGAGAAGAAAGAGACTGTGGTTTTGTTTAATGTAAAAGTGGACATTCCGTTGCGCTCATCGTCCCCGTTTATAGTGCTCACACTGAGCATCTCGGAAGGGAGGAGTGGAGGAGGAGATAACGCCGTGTTGGCGTGTCTCCTTCTCAATTCGGGGGAATTTTTTAGCTTTATATAGCACTTGGCGTTGGCCGGGAAGGAGATGGGAGAAGAGCCCTTAAAGACGCGCTGGACGTTTGAGGTGAATTCGTGGCGATTCATGTCCTGTTTTTACTGCATGATTTGCTTAGCGACTTTGATCTGGGGATTGATGTTGGTGTTTTATCTTTGTTTTGCTTGATCGGTTTTTCATCGGTTTTCGCTAAGTTGGGAGCTGGGCCACTGGAATGGATAGGAATGATTGATGATTGTAGTGGAAAGTAGGGTTCTTCCTTCGATCAAGAGTGATTTTTAGCTTTGATTTTGTAAATGTTGATTTTCTTCGATCTTTGCTTGCGTTCAACGCTGTCCTATCATAGCTCGGGCGTTTTTCTTTTGAAATTTCTACTTGGCCATGGTTTTATGTGCATTTGATTCTATCTACAAAATTCCCTTATTTATGGTTAACTCATGTAGGACTTCAAGATGTTTTATAATATAAGATTTGGGAGGAAGAAGGAGATTAATAATGACGATCCTAAATCTGATACCAACGGTATAAACTCTGATGGAAATGTGAATACGAATGTAAACATCAAGAGCAATTCTGACATGGCTGTTTATGAGCAGTTTGAGCAGCAGGTTTGTGTGTGTGAGACTTGCTTGTCAACGCCCTTTCCTTTATAGAATGATGAGATTTCCATGAATGTGCTTTCATGCCATGATAATATGATATTTAAAAAGTTGGTCTTATTTCTTTGATTTGTTCAGGAAAGGCAATGTGTGATCAGGGCTACAGCTATTTCTGCTAGATCCGATGGAGCAATGTAAGATTTTTTTTTTATTGTCTCTTTTGATGGCCTCTAATATTTTAGGTTGTACTTAACTTATTAGGATATAATGTTTAGAATTAAAACTACAGTTTTCAGTCCAGGTTATTTAGGATCTATTTTTGTTGAAACAGATTGAAAACCAATTAATATTTTCAGTTTCTACTGATTTTGAGAATTTCGGTGAAGTTTTGGATGAAATTATAGAGTTTGAGTTGAAACTCACAGGTTCCAAACAAAAACTTTTGCTTAAACTCTTGAAAATCGTTGAAGTTCTATTAGAATCCAATCATCAAAATCAAGGTCACAAAAACCTAAGCCTCAATTAGATAATTCTATTTAATCAAAATTGAATCCCAAAATCAGTGGAATTATCAAAACTAAAACTTGCTTGTTTAGCCGAAACAGAGTTTTATAACTTTGATAACGCCTTCCCAGTAGTGCTTTGATTGCTGCATTGGTATTATAGATGCTGAGTTAAAACATAATCTGTCAAGAAGGTTATGATTCCTCCTTAATATGCTGAAAACTTAGACTTCCTAAATCAAAAAGTTCTTGTAATGTTCTTGTTTTATGTTTGTTGAATAGACTGAAAAATGATATATATATTTTTATTATGACTTATCTAAGTCTTCTTTGAACTTCCATACAAAGCACGGTGCATACTCATCACTGGACATTTATAGTGTTATCATTAGAAAATTATAGTTTAGCTCTTAACTTTTGCATTTAGCTGGATCCTTTTTCATCACACGTGGCTAAGGATAAATACTTTTTTTTTTCTTTTTAGCTGACCCAAATGCAAAGGCAAGTTATGTTTCTTTCATTTTATTGATGGCAAATTCTTACATTTATGGCCATTTCCCATCATTCTTTCATTTTCTGCAATGGAATGACACTAGATAATTTGTTATCGCTAGAAAATTGTAGTTTTAACTCTAAAACTTCGCAGATTGAAGCCACTACTTCCTCCTTTTGATTCTGCAGAAACAAGATCTTTAGCAGAGACTTTGTGCAGGTATGACATCCTTTCAAATTGATTTTAGAGCTATTGTCATTGTCCTCAATTAGTTTTCATTTACATATTCAAAATACTATTTAACATTGATGGTTATTACTTGCTGTGGCCAATTATAGAGATATCATTCGTGGAAATCCTGATGTTAAGTGGGAAATCATCAAGGGATTGGAGAATGCAAAACGCCTTGTTAAAGAAGCAGTTGTCATGCCCATAAAGTATCCAAAGTACGTATAATTCATCACTTTTCATGTGTGTAAACTTACTTTTTAAGGTGCTTCTCAATGTATTTCTCTCAGAAGAAATTATCCTTTGGCAATCTTGAAAAATGAACTTGCATGCTATATCCATAATTTCTGACTTATTGGTTTACTTGCTACATATGTGGTCAGAATAAACTTTGTTATTTTATCATTTCATGTACAAGGTCATATAGATACTTTAAATATTTCATTCCATAATTTGCTTATTTTGAAAAAAAATTGCTTGAGTTGGGGAGATCCATGTTTTATGATATCATATAATTTTTTGATCTCTTAACTTGTACAAGAGTGTATATGTATGCTTTCCAAACACTCTGCAATGGTCAGAGTAGAAGTCTCTGCATGAGTTTTTTTTTTATCATAAAAAATATTTGATCTACATGAGTTTCTGTTGTGCTAAATTAACTTTGTATGTGCCATAGAGATCTCAAGGATCTTCACTTGATAGATGCAAAATTTAGTTTCGATGTGACTATTTGAGGTTTTTTTTTATTAGCAGATCTTTTTGAACTTGGGATTAATGGATTTGGCAGGAATGGAACCCCCCTTGCTATTTTAAGGAGGTCTACAGATATACATTTCATTAATTACATCAATTGTTTGCTCGTCAAATAACTAAAAAAATCTTTTTTTTTTTAAATTAAAAGTAATTCAATAGAAGCAAGAAGAAAAAGGAATTCGTTAGTCAGTATGTCAATTAGCCAATCTCTCCAAGAATGAGGCATGACTCATAATATAAAATACGGATTAAATTTCAAAAAATAGTCTCCCGACTATTCATATATGATAACTTTATTCCCAGAATTTAGAGACCATTTTGAATCAATTTTATATAGGCGGTGGACTAAATTGGGGCAACGTGATACTCTAGGACTAAATTGACCATACACTAACAGTCTGACTATCATAAGATGTTTCTGTATAAAATACATTAGCAATTCGACCTTCATTTTTTATCATTCATGCCATAGGGACTAATATCATAGAAGATCTGCTGGTTGCATGATACCAAATCCTTATGCATGAGTGTAAAGGCCACACATAACTTTATATAGCCATAGGCCCATACTTATGGGAACTTTCATCACTTGAGGAAAATCATATTTCATCTAATTTATATTCTTGAAGGACATTAAATTATTTTGATTTAGTCATTTTGTATTTAGGTCTGGGATGGTTATTCATGATGTATTCCATTGTTCAGTTATGAATCTGTAACTTCATTTTTGCCTTTACTATTCCTTTAGCCAAAAACCAAAAAGAAACCTATTGAAGGAATAAGAGAGCATCATGCTTGCTATTGATGTACAATGAAGAATATACACAATTTTCAATTTTGATTTTTGCTTTTTTTTCTTTTTATCTGAGAGCGGATGCAATTAATTTTCAGTAAAATAATGGTGTTCTAGGTACTTCAAGGGACTTCTTTCTCCTTGGAAGGGAATTTTACTTTTTGGCCCTCCTGGAACAGGGAAGGTTTGTTCTTAAAAACTGTGAATTTCTCCATATTATTGTTTTTTTTTTTTAATGTTAGCTTGAGAACGTACAATTGGGCGTTCATGGAAAAAGAAAATTGTAAGGTAAATTAACAAACTAAAAAAGCATAAATTTATTTCAAACACTTAGACTTTCTATCTGTTGCATGCATGTGATTTCACTTATCTTATTTTTATTTGGGCCTATTTTACTGTTATCCAGCAATTATTATATCACTGAAATTTCCATGAAATGCTTTGGAGTTGATAGTTAATCAAGAATTTGGTTGACCTCTCTTGGCTAATGTTGACTTTTAGTTTTTTGTTTTAGATGGCAATGACTGCATTACCCTGAGAAAGTCTTGGATTTGGGATGATAAAGGAATCAATGAAAACCTCATTGAGATGTGGGCAGCTGTGATACTTATGCCTAGAAATTCATTTATCAACTTTCTCCAGCATTATTTCATCTCTTGTTTGCTTAGATTTTACTAGCTGCTAAAAGCAGATGGTTTTTTCGAGGTATCCAAAAGATAATTTTAGTTGGCAAATTAATAGTAGATTACATATTACGTAGAAATTTCATCATTATAAGCCATTGGCGTTTGCCCTATGATAAAATATCCCTCCTGATCCCTAGGAGAATTCTTGATTAAGGATATCACAGCTTTTTTAAGCTATTGTTTAGCAAATGGATTCTTATATCTTGTGCTAGGATATGTCGCATATTGGCCCAGAGGAGATGAGGTGATGAATGCAAACTTTCTCAAGATTTCGTTATTTTATCGCTCATGATAAGGATGTATCTAAATAGTGAGAAGAATTTAAGCAATTATGAGTTTTCGCCTTGAGTTGGGATTTTCCATTTACCTCGGGCCTTATTTGGAAGCTATTTGCAATAAAGACCTCGGCTATTTGATGTACCCAGTGGTTTAGAAGCTCGAAGAATGGTCCTTTTTCTTTTCTTTTTTTTAAGTGAGGCATGGTCATTTCGAAACATTTGGATTGTAAAGAAAGATAAATGTGTTGTTTGAGGAGATATTTTAAGTTTGACTAATCGTTTTTATGGCATTTATTTGATCTTTGTTGCCTCATATGAAGCTTGGCCAATTTAGTCAAATTAATATGACATATTTTTTGTGAACATTGGTTTATTTTATATTTTGGATATGTGTGGAAACTTAGAGCACAAAGTAGCAATTTTTGTATTTTATATTTTCATGTTATTTGTACATATACTATTTTTTTAAGACAGATCATATTATGAGTAGTTATGGGAGGGATTAATATGGCCTTTCTTTTGAAGCTAGGTCTCAGGACTAGACCTTGCCTTTTTTTTATGCATCATCTTTATCCGTGCTTGTCAAAATTGATGGGGGCATTAAAGTCTTTCGCCTAAATTTGCAAGATATATCAGGCTTCTACAAAACGCTCTACTTTTTCTCTACTGTTTTTGGGAGCATAAGTTCCTTAGCACACTTATTATCTCAAGTGGCAGGCTATTTGAACTCTAACATCCTTGGATGAAACTTGACATTATGTAAGACTCCATCATCCTTTGGGAGTTTTTTTTAAGGATATCAAGTTGATTTTATTGTTAGTCAACCCTTTGGGAGGTTAATCTTATTTGATTTATCATGGGAAACTAATAATGTACATTTATTATATTATTTGTTATCTAGAGTCTCCTATTATGTTAACATATAAATTATGACAACAATACTTGTATTAGTTGGAAATTTTGTTATTTTTTTATAGTTGGATACAAGTAGTCACCCAAGATTGTTAGAATGGAGAGCAACCTAGTATGGTTTGCATCTCTTAATCAACTAAGAACCACAAGATTGGTTGGGCTCTTGGCAAAATAATCATGTCAGTCATGTTAGAAAGGGCGGTGTTTTTATTTCAAAGGGTTGTCATGTTAAATCTTATCAACCTTACCATTTAAGGGCAAGAGAGATGATTTAGGCTTTTCCAACATTTTTTTCATTAGTTTAACCACTTATATGTTTTATTTCTCCAATGGGGAATTTTATTCAATTCCCTATTATAATTGTTTAAATTTCTATTTTTTTTAGATTTTAAAATGAGCCATTGAACATTTTTGAAATTGAATGATCACATGATGTATTTACAATTCAAGAAAAGTTTGAGGGTTTTCTTTTGTATTCGTTCTAGTGGTTTAGGGTGGCACATCTTCTACATGTCGAACACTACTTATTCATGTGATTTTTGTGCCTTTTCCCCTCTTAGGATTGTGTGAACTATAGAGCTAATGGACTTTTTTCAGCATTATTCTTAATTGTCAAGCCTCCATTCATTCAAATGACCATCTTGTTGAAAATGAGTTTTTTGTCCAGTCTTAGGGTGCGTTTGGGACGGCTGCAGTTGTCAGCAAAGCAGGTTGTAAAGTTGGTGTTCAAAAAGCTACTTTCTGAAGTTGTTGTACATAAATCATTATATTTTGTTTGGATAGTGTAACTGTCAAGTTGTTGTACTGCAGCTGTATGCAAATAAATTACCATAATATCCTTCAAAACCGCTGAAAGTAGCGGACCGCGGAAGGTAGTGATATGTCGCGAGAAGCATCCTTGTGTAAGAAATGTGATGGTGGATGGTGTTATGCATGTAACATATAGTATAGTTAGGCTTTTTGTCTCGTGTTAAGGCTAGCAAGTACTGGCGAGAAGGTTGTCTTAGACTCCGTGGGGTTCATTGGACCATGATGAACTCTCAGTCAATGATTTTGAGTTTGCAATTGCTAATGCATCTCAATCTATGCTAAGATAAGTAGATATGGGTGGTGCCACTTACCCAAGATATTGGAGCTTATTAGATGCCCATGAACTCTCAGCTGATGGCATTAAAGTAATGACAATGTATATTAACTAAAGGAGGGAAATTTTCAATGCTCTTATAACTTAGGAGTATAAGCTTGTCATCAGAACATTGTTCTGGCAACACTTCCATGCCATCTTCTGGTTAGCCCATTCATTCCACTCGTAAAGAATGTACCCGTTTGTTCAATGTGAGTTTAAAATCCCCAAGAAATGTTTATAGGTAATTAGGAAAGCTTGCAGAGGGGGCTAGCCAATGAAGCCCAGTTGGTCAGATAGGATAGTTGACAACCTATTTCTGAAAGCGTTGCTCATAATTATATGAGGCCTATGCATATATACTTATGACCCATTTTAGATTTTTGTTAGTAGGGCGCATAATTATATGTCCATTCATGTGTAATCAAGTGCTTGCTCAATTTGTTTGATATTGAGTCAATTGTGGTATGTTTAATCGACACAGAAAGGTTTAAGACATTTTATAGGTCACACTTCTTAAATTATGATTTTAATCAACAAGTAACCAATTAGGATGAGGCCTTTTAAAATGTGTCCTATGAATAATTATGTGTGCCTTATTTAGGTTTTTGTCAAGCATTATGTATAATTACACATGCAGTCACGAGTAATTCTGTCTCATTCTTGCCCACAAAATGATTCTTAGCTTGTTATCCAAATATTGATTTGTCCTGACATTTGTAGAAAATAAGTTTTACAGTTCATGCAACAATCAGTAGAAACATTTGAAGAATGAGAATTCCAAAAGCAAACCCAAATATTTGAGATGAGGAATGATGTTGATAATGATGATCGATTAAATCGCTACTCATTTGTATGTTTTTCCCTTTTTCTCCATGTGGATGGCAGTCATAACAACTAGTAACATAGTGATGCAAGGGTTTTATGGGTTTGCTTCTAATCTTGAAATTGTTATGTGCAATGTTGGACTGTCATGCAACTAATTATCTTTTATTATTCTTTAATTTTTCTATTCTGTTATATTATTCATGGACTGTTCCTCTTTATTTCTAGACTATGCTTGCCAAAGCCGTCGCAACTGAGTGCAAGACTACATTTTTTAACATTTCGGCATCCTCAATTGTTAGCAAATGGCGAGGTATGCATCAGATGACTTACTAACTTTTCATCTTAGTTGCAATAGTCAATTTGTTCTACTATTGCATTGTTCTTTGTTTAGGGTATGGGTGCCACAATTTAAAAAAAAAACAAAGAATGCCAAGATGCCACTGATCTCGTGTTAGGGAACTCATTCCTCGACTGGGTCGATGCCTACCCTTTTACAATTTCTTCTTTATGTTAGAACTTTCCGTATGATCAATATAGTCTGCTGCATAAGAATCACCTTTGATTTGCTTTCAAATATCTTTGATTTGGAATTTTAAATAGCCCATAACAAAACTTTTTACCTGTTTTAATCAAAATAATAGGTATTTTCCTAGATATTCCTATTTTCTATCATGTTCTTGCATCAACCTCATCATAATTATCATTAGCCTTATCCCAACTTTTTGTGGTTGACTCTATGAAGTTTCATTCTTGATGGGGACATCAGATCATCATGGAGAGTTTACCAGCGACGTGGCCACCGATCTACGGCCACGATCGAGTCGTTATATTTTTGAGTCAATGTATTTTGTTTTCATGCATTTTATTATTTGCTTATGAGTGTTATTTTATTTCCCTTTGTACCCCTTTGTATGGGAATGGTCATGTGTAAGCCTGAGGGCAATTGTGTCATGTCAGTTAGAGTCTTTTGTATGAGGTTTGTTGTGAAAAGTTGAATGAAAGTTGGCTCCTAATTTTGGTGCTCATCCTCATAAAGGTTAGAGTTGACTTTCAATTTTAAGGGCTAGAAAGTACATTTGATGAGAATAGAATAAATATAAAGCCAATGGATGGTGAATTAGAATATTAAAATTTTTACTTGTGGTTATAAATACAAGAAAAGTAATCTATGCCTAGGTAAAAATAAAACACTCTTTAGCCAAACAACACAGGAGCCGAGCTTGTTAAAGGTGTGCTTCAGCAAATCAAATCATGGTCATTGAAACTTCAATGAAACTACCTCACAATTTGAGCTCCAACCATTTTCAAAAATTTGCATTGGAAAAAAAGAATCCCTAGGTGAACTTTATTTCGTGCGATTTTTTTTTGGACTTCTACCCTTGTAATTTTTAGTTATCATTTTGATTCCTAATCCTTTCAAATTAATAATATTTACCCATCTTTACTATAAAAACTCAAGCCACCAAATTATATTTTTGACTATATTATTTGTAATAAGTGTTATTTCCATCTTCTTCCTAATACAATCATTTTTTAATGATTTTATCACACATCTATTTTAATATTTTTATGTTTTACCACACTTAATAGGGATTTCATTTCGTCCTAAAGTTTTACTATTGTGCTCCTTATTAAAAACCAATTCAATTTCTCCTTTTTTATCAATGTATATTATACATCAACAACAACAACATTAAGTCTTTATCCCACTATATGGGTTCGGCGATATAAATCCTTTTTCTCCATTGTATCTTGTTAAGAGTCAAATTCTCATCTAAATCTAATAAAAAAAGTTCATTTATAATAATTTCTAACCAAGTCTTTTTAAGTCTACTTCTGCATTTCTTAACATAAGTCAAATCTAATACATCTATTTTCCTAACCGGGTCATCGGAAGGTCGCCGTTTTATGTGACAAGACCATCTAAGGAGACTCTTTTTAACATTATCTTCCATTGGAGCTACTCCAACCTTTTCACGTATATGCACATTTCGTATCTTGCCTCTAAGAGTAAGGCCATGCATCCACCTGAGCATTCTCATCTCTGCAACACTTAACTTAATATTATGCTTCTCTTTTAATGGCCAACATTATGCACCATAAAGCATTTCAGGTCTCACTACCATCTTATAAAATTTTCCCTTAAGTTTGAGATGACTTTTTTATCACACACAAGCCTGATGCATTCCTCCACTTCAACCATCCAACTAAAATTATACTAATAATATCCCCATCTATTTCATCATCACTCTGAACAATAGACCCAAGATATCTAAAATGTGTACTTTTATTAATGACTTGATCACCCAAAGTCACAATCTCCCCACTAGATCTGTTATTACTAAAATTACACTTTATATATTCAGTTTTAGATTTACTAAAACGAAGGACTTTAGACTCTAAGGTTGACCTCCATAACTCAAGTTTATCTTCAACTCCCTCTCTAGTCTTATCAACAAGAAGAATATCATCAGCAAAAAGCATACATCGGGGTACAACCTCTTGTAAATATCTAATGAGAACATTCATGACTAAAGCAAAAAGCTATGGGCTTAAGGTTGTTCCTTGATGTAAGTCAACTGAAATAGGAAAATACTTGGTCAAACCACCTTGTGTTTGAACACAAGTAACAACTCCTGCATACATATCCTTAATGACTTTAATATAAGCGTTATTAACCCCTTTCTTATCTAAAACTCTCCATTGCACTTCTCTTGGAACTTTATCGTATGCTTTCTCTAAATCAATAAAAATCATATGTAGATCCTCCTTATTCTCTCTATACTTCTCCATCAAACCTCTCATAGCTTCCATAGTAGGCCTACCTGGCATGAATCCAAATTAATTTTGAGAAACATTAGTGTCAAGCCGCAACCTATGCTCCATAACTCTCTCCCATTTATATTAAAAACAAATTCAATAGGGATCTCATTTGCCTATGCTCTATGTAATAAATGTTCTGGTAATATTGATCTGGTTTTTTTTTTCAATGGCAGTGCAATTAATTGGCAATTTGATTAAGCTGTTTTGAGAATATTAGTTTAATTAATATGTTATTTTCTGTGATGTATTATTCTAGTTAGCTTTGATGTTAATCCCACCTTAAGAATGTCAATCCCACCTTAAGTATGATGCTTATACGGACCCATTTATTACTTGTTGTTTTAACATAGCTATTAGCTACTAAGAGGTTGCTTCTAATTTTGAAGAATAGATTTCTATTTCTTTTCCAATTATCTGTTTTGATCATCGTTGTTCCTTCATCAAATTTCTATTAATCTTAGCTGTCACTTTATTTTTCTATAAATACATATCATCATCACCATTATCATTAATGTTAGCCTCATCCCAACTATCTGTAATCAACTTTATGAATCAATATTCTCCATTTAGTCTGTCGAGTGCTCATGAAGTGTTAAATCTATTTTGTGCAAATATTTTTGGACAACTTCTATCTATATAATTTTAGCTCTATCATGTTCCTTTATAAGCTATCAACACTATCAACCTATTTAATGTGTATTTTTTGTCTTTTATTGAGCTGTTCAAACAACCAAAGTTTGTTTTGCACTATGTTAATTTCAATAGATGACATTCTCACAATCCATTTAATATAACTATTTTCAATCTATTATTTTTAATTTTTTCATGCATGTATCTTAATATTCTCATTTCCTTCTGTCGTCAACATTCTCGTATGTGTGCATGGCGCCCTCGCTTTATCCCTTTTGCAGTCTCGTGCACTAGAACTCTCCCTCTTTTGCGATCCCACTCTCAATCTCCCTCTCTCAGTTCCCGTCCGCAACCAAATCCAGAAAAAAACTTGGTGAATAAAGCCAAGAAACTGCATGGGAACTCATTGAGGAAGGTATTAAAACCTGCCGTTGTCACCTACTTGGTTGTTGTCACCTTCTATTCAGTTGTAATTGTCTTTGCATGTCATCCCTATTGTTGTTGCTTGCATCTTCTTCCTCTTCTCTTCTCACTATCTTTCTCTCCTTCCTCTACTCTCTCTTTCCCCCCTCTATTTCTTCCTATTACACTCTCTCCCTCTTTTTTTCTCTCTTTATCTCTCCCTCTTTTTCTCTCTATTGCTAACTCTATCTCTCTCTTCCTCTCACTTTCTCCTTTGCCTCTCTTTCTCATTCTTTCTCCTCCTCTTTCTCTCTCTTACTCCTCTTTTTTTTTCTTTCTCTCTCTAAAAATGCAAACAACACAACAACATCAAGCCTTTATCCCACTGTGTGGGATCGGCTACATTAATCTTTTTTTTCTTCATTGTGTTTTATTAAGAGTCAAATTCTCATTTAAATTTAATAAAGAAAGTTCATTTCTAATATTTTTTAACTAAGTTTTTTTAAGTATACATCTACCTTTATTAACATAAGTCAAATCTAATACATCTATTCTCCTAATCGGGTCATTGACAGTCCGTTGTTTTATGTGACCAAACCATCTAAGGCGACTCTCTCTAATCTTATCTTCCACTAGAACTACTCTAACCTTTTCACGTATATTGTCATTTCGTATCGTGTCTCTAAGAGTAAATCCATTCATCCACTTGAGCACCTTCATCTCTGCAACACTTAACTTAATAGTATGCTTCTCTTTTAATGGCCAACATTCTGCACCATTAAGCATTGCAGGTCTCACCACCGTCTTATAGAATTTGCCCTTAAGTTTTATGGGAATTTTTCTATCACACAACAAGCCCGATGCATTCCTCCACTTCAACCATCCAACTTGAATTCTATTAATAATATCCCATCTATTTCACCATCTCTCTGAATAATAGACCCATGATATCGAAAATGTGTACGCAACAAAAAATAAACAAGAAGAGGAAAAATTAGCGAAAAAGAACACCAAGATTTAATGTGAAAAAATCCGGAATTGAGAAAAAATCACAGAGCCACACCGGATCAAGAAATTTACTATGAAAATGGGAGAAATCATATAGATCTCTCTTCTCCCACTAACTTCTTATTTCTCTTTACTTCTCATATCATTCTACTCTCAAAACAGGCAATGAGATGCACTTCTATTACACCAAAGGACACAACCCTTCCAGTGATAAATGCATGAACATCCGAATTTAGAAATCAAAATGCCACACAAGATGAACACGAGAGGGAACCCAAACTCCTCTCACCCAGAATGTTGCGCAAGATAATATTATTTTTAAGGCTATTATTTCTTTTGATCATTTTATTTACGTTTATTATATATAAATTAATGGTTATTATTTTGTGTTTCTTTTCCTAGAATCTTCTTTGACACTATTTATAAAAAATACATTTCTTTTTAAATAAAAAGAGTTATATTTGAGATTTAATAGCTTCATTTTCTTGATATACTTATAATATGGTAAAATCATTAAAGATGACTGATTGGACGGTTGCACCTTTAATTATCTTCATAAGATGGTTAATATGAAGTTGGTGATAATTTTATAGCCTTGGCGTAGTTCTTATAAATGAAGTTATCTGCTGCCTCCATAACAACATATTGTTCTTTCAAATTTACAGGTGACTCGGAGAAGTTAGTAAGAGTTTTGTTCGAGCTTGCCAGGCATCATGCGCCATCTACTATTTTTCTTGACGAGATTGACGCCATCATTAGCCAACGAGGTGAAGCACGTAGTGAGCATGAAGCCAGTCGTCGTTTAAAAACTGAGCTTCTTATACAGGCAAGTTTGTTTTTTTTATGAAAAATGCAAAACCCTTTACTAATCTGCATCTGGGCTGTACTTTTCTCAGACGTAACGGTCAATCTTTTTGAGCGCAGATGGATGGTTTGACAAAGACAGATGAACTTGTCTTTGTTTTAGCTGCAACAAACCTACCTTGGGAACTTGATGCGGCTATGCTCAGACGCCTTGAGAAGAGGGTATCCTTTGTGGTAATTATTTATTGTTGATTAAATGGATAAAACTATCCGTTGGAATGACTTTTTTCCGGTGTTATATTAGCATTTCATCAGAAGTTGATCATATTAAGATTTAGGGGTTGTTTGGTAGCACCCAGGACTTGATTTAAGTAGGATTTCGTAAATCCTCTAATCCGGATTTCATAAATCTTGAGGGGCCTAAATCCTGAAAATTGTTTGGTAACATTCATGATAAATCCTATTAAATATCGTGTGACTGTTTGGCTATAGAGCGGATTTAACGAACAGACTCTTCCTCTTGAGCCAATGGATTTCATAAATCCGGCAAAAAATAGGATTTCAGAAATTCGGGATATAGCACGAAAAGGCGGAATTTTCCATCTACGCGGCTTTCATTTGCCGTGAGATTTGATTTTGCATTTTAGGCCGTTTGGCTGGATTTCGCTCAAATCTGGCCTAATCCTGCAATCAAGTAGCCCTTTAGGGTTAGCACTGTCAGCGTTGCTATTTTTTGTGTGGAATTGAACCCAATTAAAATTTGGTTAGAATGGTTCTCAAAGTTATGGGTTTAATTTTGAGATGAGGGTAGTACATGAGTAATCAATCAAAATTATATTGCACAGTTCTCAAAATATGGGTTTAATTCCTTTGTTTGATCACTTCATTGCAAAATATCCAATGATGGAAACTGTCATTAGCTTGTCTTTTCACTCTAGTTAATGGCAATAAGGATTTACTATAAGATCCATTTGCAGTATGGTGTCTTTTTCATTATATGTTCCATTGTTGGTGGAATAAAATTTTGTATGATTGAACCTAAACAAATACTCTGATTGGAAATACTTGAGTTCGCAAGTAACCCTAAGGGTAATAGTTGAGTTCGCAAGCAAACCTATCAAGAATTGGTCAAAACAGCTAGAAAAACAGAATATCTGGAGGAAATCAACTTAAGAACGATAGATTGCAATAGTATGAACAAAGCCAAACAAACTCCAAGCAAGATACAATTGATCCTCAATTCAAGAGAAGGATCATCTCTCCATCTCTAGATTGTGAATCTAGAGTCCAAGACACCAAAGAGACTTGATAAGAACAACTCAAATCGTGCAAAACCCTAACCCTAAACAAGTCATACTATTAATACATTAATTCCCTAATTCAAACATCCCTAATTCAAAAATTCCCTCTCACCCTAGCCGCCCAACCCTCTTTCCTTAATTTTCTTCTAGTGGGGCCCACTAATTTGGGCGGCAAGAAGAAAGGGAGGCGGCACTTGTCCGCCTCCTGTAGACCAAAGGCCGACTGGGCCGGTTCAACCTGAACCGGCCTAACATACTCATTATAATTGTTCAGTTCCTTGTTTTAACCAAGTAGTTGCAAACATGTTTTCCTTAAACCTTGTTCCATTAGATTCTTGTGCCTCTTCCAGAACCAGAAGCTAGGCAGGCTATGTTTGAGGAGTTTTTGTCAACTTCTTCTGGGGAAGCAGAAATACCTTATGATTATCTGGTGGAGAAGACTGAAGGTTATTCAGGATCTGACATTCGTTTAGTATGCAAGGAAGCAGCCATGCAGCCACTAAGGAGGTTGATATTCTTTCTGGAAAGCCAACCCGACAAAGTGCCTGAGGATGGTGAGTTTTATTCTCTTATATTTTGTCATATCTAAACATGCAAATTTAGGCTTCGTTTGGGACGGCTTTCTTACTGCTTCTTAAAATGGCTTTTTAGTATAAAAATTTTGATTTTTGTAATAAACAGTTGCTTTAAGAACCAATAAGAAAGCTTTCTCAAATGAAACCTTAGTTTAACAATATGACACTACCGAAATCACAACCCAAAAAATTCTTAAAGAGTTGGCATATTTGTTTGGCAGAAAAGGATTGGTTGCTATGTAAAAATAACACATTCCTTGTTATAAATTCTCTTGCATTTGTCAAAAATTGGAACACAAAACTGTCAAAAATTTGATGAAAAATCTCAGTAATATATAAATTAGATAGATAACTTGGATTTCATTTGGGACGACTTTCTTACTACTTCTTAAAGCAGTTTTCTAGTACAAAAATTTTAATTTTTGTACTAAAAAGCAGCTTTAAGAAACAGTAAGAAAACTATATCAAACAAAACCTTGTTCTTATTCTTTCGTCCTGCATTGATTCTAGTTCAAATATACTAAATCTATTCATGGATTTCAGAGTTGCCTGCTGTTGGTCCTGTCACACCTGAAGATATTGAGGTGGCTTTGAGAAACACAAGACCATCAGCTCATCTCCAAGCTCATCGTTATGATAAGTTTAACCAGGATTATGGCAGCCAGATTCTCAGCTAAGCATTATTATTGTTTTGTAGATTATTGCTACAGGATTCTTCTTGTTATTCTATTTAACCTGCTCAATGCATCAAACTTCTGAAACTCTTTAATTGATTTATATATACCAGAAATGCCCTCTAGAGCTTAACTGCTGTTGTGAATATTTGATTTAGGCTTAGTCTGTGACAGCTTTTTTACTGCTTCTTGAAGCAGCTTTTTAGAACAAAAATTTTAATTTTATACTAAAAAGTTGTTTTAGCAGTAAGAAAGTCGTCCCAAACAAAGCCTTAGTTGTTCATTGTTCTATAATCCTTATTTCCTTTTAAATGCATGAAACTGTTGTATTGAATGTCATCATTTCTTTTGCAGTAAAAACTGCAACTTATCTAGAAAAAAAAAATTAGGAGAAGATATTTAACATCAGTGGATGAGATATTTTGATAAGCTTTCAATGAATATAGTGAGAATACGATTGATTTTAGTGACTTTATCACACTTAGATTTTTAGTATTGTCGTATTAGTAAAATTAAAGTTAAAGTGGCTTTAAATAAAATTAAAGTTAAGGTGACAGCCACCACTAATTGTCACCTGATCATTTATTCAATCACTGATAATTATCAATGAGCGTCAATGATCTAAGCATTTCAGATCCAAAAATCCTTCAAATCATTGGCCAAATCAAATCTACATTAAATCCATTAGCTAGATTCAATGCAAATCTCAAACCTCAAAAGTTAATGCTCAAAAGAAAACACAAGACCCCTTGGTTCATAACCTATTTTTGGACAAAATTCAACCAAATGATATTGGATTCATGATTAGTCGGTCGTATATTGATTAGGCAAATTTCTAGGGTCATCCAAATTAGCTTGGAGGCATTCCAAGTCTTTTAACTCATGTAACTCAAAAGCATATTACAATGCAACAAAACTTTCAAATATTTACAGTATATGCCACTAAGCATATTATATTATTATTTTTGACCTTGAAAGCCTCCCCAATTCTATTGATCATGATCATGATCATTTGCATGATGCATTGAACCAACATTGAACCCTTGGTAGATTATGGCTGATCATGATTGACCACAAAACCTTGAAAACCCCAAAATCTCTATAAATTGAATTTTTCTTAAACTTCAACATGGCTCAACCAAATTAAACCCCGAAACATTTCAAATGTGATTTGGAGTGCATTGAAACCAACCACAATCCATGGTCATCCATGGTTGACCAAGTCAACCTAGGTTAACCAAAATGCCTCTTCAGCCTTTGAAATTGCATTTCATGTATGGAGATCTCACCAAATCTTAGGACCACTTCCAACAAAATCAAAATATCATTTGCAATGCATTAAATTAAATCTCAACCCCTGGTCAACCCTTATTCACCAAGTTAACCCTAGTTGGCCCAGGAGCCCCTTAAACTCTTAAACTTGCATTTCATATCAAATTACCTCACCATTGCATGAAACGTATTCCAATAAGTTTTAAATTACATTTGGATAAGTTAGACCCCTCATTGATCCCAAGTCAAACCTAGTTGATCAAGTCAACCATGGTTGACCAAAACACATATAAATACTTAAAAAATTCAAAACCAATGATTTTGACAAAACTAATGAACAAAACTTTTGGGGGAAGTCCTTGGGGTCACCGCAAGTCTCCCAAAAAAATTTCAGCCTATGGACCCACTTGGTTTACCCACGTGGGTTGAACCAAGTGCACCCAAAGGGATTTTCTTGAACCAAAATCCAACTCTTTTAGAATTAAATTACACAAATAATTGTAGCATGTGTCCCTTAACCCCATGCACATGACATAGCTAGTCCAATCCATGGGTTGACATGGGTCAACCAATTGGGTTGAACCAACCCTCCAAAACCTAAATTATTAGGCCCATTGACAACCCAACCCAAATTGGACCCAACCAATTGATCAATTGCACTCTAGAATGTTCTTCCCACATGTCATAATAATGACCCAGCCATATGGATTGCTGATGTGGCAAGATTCCCCAAAACAGCCTTCAAGCAATCATTGGTTCACTCCTAACTGACTATCCAGCTATCCCAATGAGCTCAAACTCTCTAGAACCTCCCCATGCCTAATATTAGACAGTCCATAATTGAAATGGTGGTTGGCTAGTGCTTAGGTGGAAAGATCTTGGCCCTTGATTGTAATTTTTCTCTCCTATAAAGACCCTTAATTTTTTGGAGCAAGGGTTGATCAATTGCATTATCTAGCTTCATAGGAACTCCCTCAAGTCCCTCATAGCCTTCCCCAGCCTTCTCTAACTCTATATTCCTCCAAATGAAATCTAAGAGAGAGAGAGGAGAGGAAAAACCTTCTCACTCATGTAACTCCCCATCCAATGGATTTCAAAGCTTGGAATTTCCAAGAAAGTTCTATAAGATAAGTCTAGGAGTCCTTAGATTCCAAGATCAAAGGATTTCATCATCTCGATCAAAGTATTTTTCCAAATTAAGCCTAAAACTTCTCTCTAAAAGTGTTTTCTGAAAAGTGATTTTCAATGCAATCAAACACTTCTCAGCTCTTCATTTGAGTGTGGGGAAGATATGTTTCAAATTTTATTGAATTTGGATGAGCATACAAGAAGTTATGAGCATTTAAAAATTTTAGTTCATATTTGAAGTTTTGAACTATGGATTTGAGGTTGATTTGAGCCGTCGATCACGCGTGTATTGAGATCGGGAAGCCCATATCTAATTGAACAAAGCGTGATTCGAAACTACACCCCTCTAAAATTCTCGCACATAATCCAATCCATTAATCTTATCTGGACTGGATCAGATGGCTCTTATCCTCTACATACGTAGATAAGTGAAAAGGAGGGGTTATTCTGGGCGCGACGCATGGCACAATCACTAAATCTGATGAAAGCCATCGTGCCAATCATTTCCAATGATTGAACAGCTGCTAATTTGATATAAAATGCTTTAAAGTGATTAAATAAATGCTTGGAACTTCCAAGATTCACCATAAATTTTATTTTCACCCAAATTTGGTGTTCTTGGACTCATTCAAACCATATTGAGCCCAATTTTATTTTATAAGTAATTTTAAATGATTTTGACTAGTGGTGAGGAGTAATTTGATTGCAAATTAGATTTTTTAATTACTCCCTAACTAGTGGTCCAATTGAGCTCAAATTTGGACAATATAAACTAGGGTGTGTGTGCTGCATACTCTAATTTTCTCAAGCTTTGTGATCATTGGATCTTGGTGAATTGAATTTTCGAAGTTTTAGCTCATAATTTGATCCAAAATTTTGGAAATTCATACCTCTCAATCTACACATAGTTTTATTTTGATTTTCTTATGAAAGTTTTATGTTTATGCATGGGTTAGAATGTCACTAGTTTCAACCCAAATCCAGTCAGTAGATTGCTTAAATCAAATCATCAAAGATATAGATGTATTTACTTTTGAAGATTGATTGTGACACCTAGGAAAGCTTTGATGAGCCCAAATTTAATGGGTTTGAAGCACATGTTCAGATGAACCTATGTTTCAAATTTCATTACATTTAGAGTTCATTTAGCCTGTCAAATACTGAACCCAAGATTGACACACATAATTAACATAGAGTTTTTAATCATTCATAATAAATCTAAATTAAATTAAAAAAAATACATTTTAACTATCAGATTGCTCAAAATTAAAAGCTTAGCAGAGAAAAATTAAAAAGCCACTTGAAATTCAATCAAAATAAAAAGTAATTTAAAATTTAAAAAATTAATAATTAATTAAATTAAATAATTAAAAATCTTTAAATTCCAAAATAATTGCAATAACTTGTTATCATCTCTAGGAGTCATTAGTGACATTTGAGAAAGATTTCAAAATGTTTGGAGTTTTTTTGGAAAAAAAAATAAGAAATCCCCTTAATTAAATAAATCATTAAAATGTGTTGAACTTATAAAAATCATAAATAATTATAGAAAACTCCAATTAACACAAACTCAAAGGCATTGAACTCATAATTGGGTCTCCTTTTTATAAAAAATATAAACTTTCAGAATTCAACATAAATTAGAAACTCAACATTTGGTCAAATTTGATTCATTAAAATATGTTGAATTTTGTAAAAATCATAACTTATAATAGAAAATATTCAATTGACACAAACTAAAAGGCATTGAACACATCATTGGGTCTAGTATTTATGTAAAATATAATATTTTTAGAAATCGTTGTAATTTAAAAAGTCAATAATTAGTCAAACCCAATTCATTAAATAATTTAACAAATACAAAAAAAATTTAGTAAATATATAACTTGATAAATTAAATCAAATATACTTCGTCAAAAAGTTTTTAGGTTGAATTATCTTGGGTTGTGGACTACGTGTCCTAATGATGCTCTGGTACTCGTGTCGGTTGTGACAACGCTGCGAATGAATTGATAGAATGTAAACAATAAATTATAAACTTTGGAAATCAATAATTAATGAATTAAAACTAACTAAAAATCAACATTGTATCATGAAGATTTTAAACTGGACTACCTTGGGCTATGGGGCTACATATCATAAGGAGGCTTTGATCCTTGTGCATGTTATAATAATGTCATGAATGAATTGACAAAATCTAAATATTAAATTATAAATTTTATAATTAGTAATCAATGAATTAAATTAATTTAAAATTAGTGAAAAAATATTTAGAAATTAAAGCTTTAATGCCCTTATGCAGGAGTTGGTCTAGAGCTATGTTTTTCAAAATTTCAACAATTAAACACCCCTTAAAAGAAATTTAAAACTTTTAAAATATTCAAACTTAAATTCAAACCACTTTTCATTGATCTTAAACTAAACAATTTAATTTGTAGATAACTTTAAACATATAAAACTTAGAATCTATCCAAGCTATATAACTTGTAGATAACTTTATATATATATATATATTTCATCCTTATAGATGAATTGAATATTCCTTATGTGTTTTGATTATGAAAATAAATTCATTGATTTAGTTTCATGATTAAAATAATAGATGAATGTTCTCTTTATCCTTATGCATGAACTGAATATTCCTTATGTTATATTTGATTATGAAAATATATTAAGAGTTTCTCTTAGGGCTACAAGCGAATCAAACGTTTGATGAGCTACTCGTTGTTCAGTTCAATTAAAGCCCGTTTGTGGTCGTTTAACTAACTAAACAAACAAACTTGAACAGCATTTTTAATACTCAATCCTTAAATAAATAAGCTTGAACACTAATGTTTTTGGTTCATTTATGTTCACGAACAACATCATTTGAAGCTCGTGAACATGCTCGACATTAAGCTCGATATGAAGCTTGATTCGTGTTCAATTCAGAACTCATGAATAAGCTCAATAAAAACTTGATTAATATTTAATTATAAAATTGATAAATATATATAAAATAAATATTTAATTTCTTATAACATAATAATATAATTATTTTAATTAATAAATTTTAAAGTAATTAAATATTATAATATATGTTGTAGTTTTAATTTTCATACCATTGCTAATTTATTATATTACATCGTTATATCTTGCTTATTTGATTGCTCAAGAATACTCATTAGATTTATTTATGAACATGCTTGTTTGCTAGTTTAAAAAAATTCGTTAAATATGTCCACGAATAGAACTCGTTAAGACTAGTTTGTTTAAAGCTCGATAAGCATTAAACGAATCGAACACGAACCAAACATGAATCAAATATGAACACCATTAATTTAAACGAACCAAACATGAACACAAACAATAAAGCTCGAATCAAACACGAACCGAACTTGAAAAAGCTAATAATAAACAAAAACAAACATGAACACTCACATACTCGGCTCGGTTCGTTTGTAGCCCTAGTTTCTCTTTTCAAATCCATAGTCAAATATTAGTCTATCTTTCAGGATGATATAATGTTAAAATAGGCATATCTTACTAAACAATATTTTAAAGCAGCTCACGAGGCAAATCGAATGCAAAATTTGTACACACTAATGTTTCTCAAAATTAATTTGGATTCATGTCAGGTATGCCTACTATAGAGCTATATATTTATTGAGAGATTTGATGGAGAAATATAAAAAGAGTAAGGAGGATATGCATATGTTATTTATTGATTTACATAAATCATATGATGAAGTTTCTAGAAAAAAAGAAGTTAATAATACTTATATTTAAGTCATTAAGGATATGTATGTAGGAGTTGTTACATATATATTCATACACAAGGTGGTTTAATCAAGTATATTCCTATTTCAGTTGGATTCCATTAAGGATCAGCTTTAAGCTCATATTTTTTTGTTTGTCATGGATGTTTTTAGTTGACATTAACAAGAGGATGTACGTCATGTATGCTTTTTAGTGATGATATTCTTCTTGTTGATAAGATTAGAGACGGAGTAGAAGGAAAATTTAACCTTAGAGTCTAAAGGTTTTCTTTTGAGTATATCTAAAACTGAACACATAAAGTATAATTTTAGTAGTAATTAATAGATCTAATTGTGGAATTGTGACTTTGGGTGATCATTAAAAAGAGTGCATGATTTAGATATCTTGGGTCTATTATTCAAAGTGATTGTGAAATAGATGGGAATATTATTAGAAGAGTTCAAATTGGATGGTTGAAGTAGAGGAATGCATTAGGCTTGTGTGATAGAAAAGTGCCCCTCAAACTTATGGGAAATTTTATAAGATGGCGGTGAAATATATAATATTTTATGGCGCAGAATTTTGACCATTAAAAGAGAATTATAAAATTAAAATTAAGTGTTGTACATATGAGGATTCTTAGGTGAATGAGTGACTTTACACTTAAAGACAGAATGTGAAACGAGTATATAATGAAAAGGTTGGAGTAGCTCCAGTGGCGCATAAGATTATGGAGAGTCGCCTTAGATAGTTTAATCACATAAAGCATTGGCCTTCACTTTTAATAATATATAATGAGAAAAAAAAAAAGATTCATATAACCGATAGCACATAGTGGGATAAAGACTTGATGCATTGTTGTTATAAAATAATGATTAAATTCCTAATATGTAATATAGTAATTATCATATTAATAACTATCATTCAATATTATTAAATAATATTGGAATATTTAGATGCTATATTTTTAATGACTTTTAGTTTATTATACAAATAACAACAACAATATACAAATAAATAGAAAAAATAAGTGAAGCAATGTAGTTAAAATTGAGAAGTATCTTGAAAGTTGTTTTATCATATTATATCATAAAGATTAAAAAGTAATTTCTTTTGCTCACAATATCTAAATATTAGATTATAAAATTTTATTGGTAGTTAAATTAAGTGTGACATAAAAATATTAAACAGGAATAATTTAAATGATAATTATATTATAATTTTAAAATTTATCTATTAAAAATAAGATAATTAAAAAAATTAAGTTTACATTTCCTTTTTTTTATTATTTCTCCCATATACTAAAAAAATATGCACTCAATCTCCATTCAGATAAATATAAAATTTGCATTTCATCTCTCCAAGACATTAAATAAACAAAATAATATATAAAATTATTCAATCACAAAAGGCTTATTTTTATAAAGCAAAGTGGTTCAGTACAAAAAATAAAGCTCACTTTACCTTTTTCTAATTATTATTCTGACCCTGCAGCATCACTCCATCAACACAGTACATCACCAGATTATTAATTATTTGTACTTGTCAACTTAACAGCAACATCCCACAAAAAAATCATGGTACTATTGATGTCCAACATTTGAAGAAATTATTCTTTGCAAACATCAGATCCAAAATAAATCAGAATATATTACATTGCCTAATACATAGCAGTACATAACACCGGTGCATAGCAAAAAAACATCATGATGCATCCTGATTCGTCTTAGAACAGCCTAAGATGTCTGCTCAAAATATTTTTTCAAACATTCAAGAGATTTTTATAAAATTATATATTTACTGTGTACTCTCATAAAATCTAGATGCATCTTACATCTGAACTTCGCACATAATAATCGCTCCAGCAATTGAGCACATATTTACAAGTGTGCCACAGAACTGATGAGCAAGTAGCCATTAAATTTTCTATTTTTTTTTTAGTTATAAATGCACTGCATAATATTTATCATGAAACTTTATAAGCACTAATGAAACAATCTAATCTTTAAAATCTCAGAAAAACCAACAAATTATTTCACAACATGTTCCTGTCAAAGTCAACAAGGCCCTTACAATTACAATCAAATTCACATCACCCACTTTCCTTTCTCTTCACTTTTCTTACAGAATGTATATCAAAACCTATAATAAGCTCTATTTGGTTGCTGGTAAACTGAACTGAAAGCTAGCAAATAGGTTTAACTTCATTGACATTGATAAAGCTCCCTGCAGCCTTCATGTTCACTAAGCATTCAAACAACCAGCTTTAGGATTTGTTTGTGATGATTTTTTTATTGCTTCTTAAAGCAGCTTTCTAGTACAAATATTTTAATTTTTGTACTAAAAAGCTGCTTTAAGAAGCAACAAGAAAATCGTCCCAAACGAAGCCTTAGAGACAACAAGATTATCAGCATCTATAACCACATCATTTCCAGAGAGTTCATCCTTGCTCCAGCTTCTGCCACTGAAACAGCCATGGTTAGCATCATTTGATCTTCAAAATTCTCAGGAACGACATGGCCGGAAGCCATACTAACTCCTTCTGCAAGTGGTTGTCTTGCCATTCCGGCGTCGGTTATGATGTTCGAATTCCAATGGCTTGGGTCTGCCTCTATGAGACTTGATCCATGGTTCATTATCATCCACCTATTCTGTGCAGGATTGGGTAGTCGAGTGCTCTGTTCAAGATCCTCGCTCCAGTTACCTACAGGAAAATTGGGTGGGCACTGTAGCATATTGGAGGAGCTCAGGCTCCCGCATATGTGCTGGGGCTCTGATAGATCAGCCATTGTGGAAGCCAAAGCAGTAGAAGGAGAAGATTCAGCTGGAAAAGTTGAATTACAGTTGAAGCAATCTTCTGAAAATAATGGTTGCACGGGTAAACTGTTGATAGTACAGGATGATGGAGATCTTTGCATTCCTTGTTCCTGTTCCTAGAGAAATACTAGATCAGATATGAACTTAATTTTTATGGTTTTTCCCATTGGCTGCTAAAAAGACTTAGGCTTCGTTTGGGACGGCTTTTTTGTTGCTTTGTAAAGTAGCTTTTTAATAAAAAAATTAAAATATTTTTAATAAAAAACTGCTTTAAGAAGCAGCAAGAAAACCGTCCCAAACAAAGCCTTAGCTATCAATGACTTTTTACCACCAAACACTCAAATCTATTAGCTTGATTAAAGTTATAGAATCAAAGATCCATGGTATCATATTATCACAAAACACTCATAATTAACTTCATTTTGACTCTCAGCATTAACATTAGAAGTTCTATCATCAACTATATCTCTATTATTTTGTATAATTTATGCAAGATAAATATAAATCTACCAAAATAAGATATTATTTTATCTTATAATAATATCAAGGAGAATTATTAGTACTACTCCAATTAATACTAGGCCAAGTATATAAAGTATACATCAATACACCTTATTTTGAGTATCTTATATAAGCACCTTCATGTAAAATTTAAGTAAAACCACCATTTATTGATCCTAAGTCCACATGAGAAATATTGACAGTTCATGCCACATTGATGTCCCATTAGAGAACTTAGGCTAAAATTAATGAAATAACTCCAAACTTATGCATGTATCAATACATAATCAATATTCATCTGAAAAAAATCTTGTAAGAACAACACAATTTATGTTAAGATAGAGAAGCAAAATAAGGCTAAGAAAGCCATTATTTCATTATATTGTAATTAATAAAATTTGAGGCAATCCTCTTTTGCTACCATATTATGTTTTCTCCCACCAAAATTCAACAATAGAATATCTAAGTTTGGGAATTCCCACCTCGAACAAAATTCCCAACCATATTCTCATGATATTCTCTAAATAAAAAGCCCAATACACTTATTCTCTTCTAAGGGTGAATTTAAGAAAGATCGGTATCAATGCATCATCAACATAGGCTTCATTTGGGACGGCTTTCTTACTGCTTCTTAAAGCAGCTTTCTACTACAAAAATAAATTTTAATTTTTGTACTAGAAAGCTGCTTTAAGAAGTAGTAAGAAAGCCGTCCCAAACAAAACCTTAGCGTCAAAGCATCAAAAATTGATATCAAAGCTCAATTTTCTTAAAGGATGAACATCTAAACCCTTAACCCTAATCAACCCATATCCACCAACCCCTACCCTAATGCTAACCATATAACATTAACCAATTGATTCATGAATCAATTGTATAACCCTTCAAGAAATATATTTCCCATAACAAATGCGTGATAATATGAATATGAAAATGGATTACTGTAGGAAATGCAATAAAAGTTTGGTGAGCCTAAGATGCCTTATGTCAAACCTATTGTTGATAAATAGCTTACAATGAAAAATAGATTGATTCACATATTCTTATATTTCTGATTGATCCATAACCAAATACGTAGGCTGTGTTCCACATACAAAAATGATTGGTTGCTTCCTCACTATATATATAATTCGTGTTATGATTGTTACCATCATCAAGTGACTAAGGGAACTTCACCCATTGTCTTGATATGATGAAGTTGTATGATGCATAGTGACATCCAAATTAAAAGATTTTGGATTATATTCTAATATTCAATCAGCAAAAGTCAATGTTCAAGAGATATTCATCAAATAGTTCCACCACCACATTCTCATAGATAAAAGACGAGCTATGCTCCCGTTGAACTCTTGATGAAGAAATTTTCTTGATCTTGTTAGATCCAAATTCATCCATGGATGATACCCAGCCTTACTAGCAAGCAACCTCTAAGATGAGAGCTTGAGAACTTAGGGCGAGTATGAAAAATAAAGGAAAAGATTTAGGAGATACGAGAGAAGAACTAAGAAACCAAAGTCTTCAAGAATACTTTTGAAGATCAATAGTGCTCCAAAAAAATCAGAAAAATACCTCTTTACCTTTTATTTTATAGAGATCCGGTGACTAAATAAAAAATAGTAAAAAAAGCATATCATTAATTGTGATTCATTATAGATTGTGCATGACACGTGTTGTAGCTTGATAGGTGTCTACGTGATTCTCCGTTTTTTACCTGGTCTTTGGCTCCAAGGCGAGTCACATGGGTGTAGGGGTGTAAGTGAGCCGAGCCGGCTCGAGCTCGACTCGTTTATGAGCTCGCGAGTCGAGCTTATCGAGCTCGCGAGTCGAGCTCGAGTTCGAGCTTAAGCCGAGCGCTCGCGAGCCGGCTCGTTAATTATTTATTAATTAAAATAATATATAATATGTATTATAATATATTAAAATGTATTAAAATATATGTTAATAAATAAAATAATATATAAAACATGGTACTCGCGAGCCGGCTCAAACTCGATTTTAATGGGACGAGCTCGAGTTTGAGCTCGTTTTTTGAGATCGACTCGAGCTCGAGCTCGAGTTCACTTTTCGACTAACAAGCTGAGCTCGTTACTCGACTCGACTTGTTTACACCCCTACCTGGGTGATTCTGCACGGGTGAGTCCTCAGGGCGTGCTGGCGAGTCTCTGAGTGCAATTCCTAGGTTGTTAACTGCAAAGGTCAAATCCCTCCAAGTTATGATAACCCCAGCTAAGATTTGGCCAAGTCCAAAGGACAAGGCTCTTAACCTCTTGAGATGCTCATTCCCTACAATTAATATTGGAAACTGGTACCAATCTAAGCAAAAGGCAAGTAGCTTTGAGATGATCCCCGGCGAGAAGGAGAGTATTTAAGAGCTTGGATGGATCTGTACAAGTTCCTTGTAGCTCCTATTGGGCGACTCTTCGACTTTGAGCCAGTTAAGTTCCTCAGCTGGCAAGTGCCCATGGAGGACACGGTGACTACTTAGGCCGAGCTCATGCCACTAAAACCAACTAGATTTGATGTAGTATAAATCATTTATCAAGATCATTTTAGATTATTTTATCATTGTATTTATTTTAATCATTTGGTTCTCCATATAATAGTGAATCAAACTCTCTTTTTATTAGGGTTAACTTTTATCTTATTTAATTGATATGATATATCTCTTTATTAGGATTTATCTTGTTTTAATTTTAAATTAGTTTTAATTATTTGTTTAAATTTATTTCCATGAACATGGATAAGAAAGGTAATATAATTCATTATCTTATCATGGATGAAATTTGATACTCATCTTAAATTCCCATAGGATTTATGTTGTCCACTTTATAAAAGTAGCAATTGTAGTAACATATAGTGAACAAATGCATACAATCTCTTGGAAATATTAAATGACCCAACTTGAATTCTACAAATATTATCCTCATCTATTTCACAATCAATCTGAACAATAGATCCAAGATATTTAAAACATGTACTCTTATTAATGACTTGATCGCACAAAGTAACAAACCTCGCACTAGATCTATTATTACTAAAAAAGATGGTAGCTTTAGATTAAAGGATGCTTGGCATGCCTTTAGATCTAAGAAGGAGATTACTAATATTTTTTCTATGCTTTGGCATAAAAGTATTCCTTCCACTGTGGTTATTTGTGTCTGGAGAATTTTGCGTAAATTCATTCCTACGTATGATAACTTAATTAAAAGAGATTTTATTTTGTCGTCCAAGTGTTAATGTTGTTATCATGTGGAGAAATGAGAATATGCATCATGTTTTTATATCTGGGCCTTTAGTTGTTAAAACTTGGACTTATTTTAATAACCTTTTAAATTAAATTGCTTCAATGCTAAATTGTCTATTAATGCTATGCTTAACTCTAGGTTTATTAAGTATAAAGGCCATATTAGAAATGTCATTCCTCCTTTTATTTTGTGACATTTATGGTTGGATAGAAACAATTCTCTAATTATTTTGAATCAACTATATGAATCCTCATTGTGCTAACTCCAATCGGGTATTACTAGTGATGATACTAATCTTAGCTATAAATAAATTAGATTTCATTAATTAGTCAATTACAATGACAATACGTTTCCCTCGTATCTAGAACATTTCTTTATAACTTTTGATTGAAATGATTTGCGTAATTGTTGGCAAGACTAACTTTTAAAAGAGAACTAAATTTCGTTGTTCACTCTCATAAAAAGGTTATAGCACATATATAATAGGACATTATTTTTTTAGTGATAGATAATGCTCTTTACATAAATTGTTCCTAAGATTCAGTATTACAAGTGAATATTACTTTTTATAAGTAATTATATTAAATGTTACAAGAAAATGGGCAATTCAAAATATAAAATAACAAAATAGTTCATATATAATAACAATAACATTACATATATTTATTTTTTAATCAATTTGACCCCTATTCTTTAAAAGAATATATTTTTGATCCATCATAAATTCCTTGGAACATTTAATGTTCTTGAGACTCGGCCTTGAACAAACAATGGAACATGACTATTCTAAACAAACAAATAAAGGAAGAGTAAGAGGGTATTCTTTTGTGTTAATTAGCCCAAGAAAAATCAAACAAAGAAATACAAAAATTAGTATTAATAAAATAGATCATTTAAAATAACCAATCATGTGTGTTTGTGTGTGCTTGGTGTGCTAGAGAGGGTTGATAGGTGGAAATGGGATCTAAGGGAGGATTTTCACCTAAATGCTTTAGAGACATAGGCCAAAGAATGTTGGAATTGGCCCAAAATCACCAAATTGTTATCGCACAACTGTAACGTTAAAAAACGAACATAAAGTTGATGGTTAAACAGCATAGGCTGTCCAAATTAAATTAGAAATGAATAAAATATCAAGAAAAAAAATTCATCAAAATTCATGAATATAGGGATATATGATGGTGGTTGCACTCATGGTATCCGTAATGTAGTTGCGCGCGAGAGGGGCTAGGTTGTGGATAAAAAATGATTAATGGAAAAAAATGAAGGTATTCTCAAGTGCTATGACAGTGCATTTAAGGCATAAAAACTGCTTAATGTATAGCACTTATATTATGTGGAGGAAGCTTTCTATTTAATAGAGTTACTTTCGCTAACATGCTTTCTCCTAAAACATGCTAAAAAACACAAAGTATCAGAGTATTCCTAAACCCTAAACAAGGAAATCAATCAGATCAATCTGTCTATTCCATTTCGTAGAAAGCAGTGTACAATTTAAATTTGAATGAAATGAAAGAAGAAGATTTTGACAATTAATGGGCTCAATATGTCCCGGAAGATAAGGACAAGCTGCATATGGATTCACCTGAATAGATTGCCAGATTGCTTGCATAATCATTCTGTTCTCAAGGTCCAGGTCAAAGTTATCTTCCCTGCATCATGTATATTTTATCAAATTAAGGAAAAAAAAAGTCTTAAGCTATAACGGTTAAGTAATCCAACTGCAGTGCATAAAAACAAAAGCAATAGAGATGGAATCATATCATAGTAGAGAATTTGAAATCCATAATCTAACCAAGTTTTTTCAAACAAGTAAAGAAAGTAGAATATGGCAGAGATAAAACTAAAGCCTAAACATTAATTATCGATACATAGAATTTAACATAGAATTTAATTTAAACTAAAATGAAAATAGCAAGAAGTTGCATAAATTACAGAAGTGATGCAACATTGACAAACATAAAAAAAAAGCACAATAACAGCTGCCACTTAGACTAAAAAGATTGACATAAACTATTACTATGCAGAAAATGTTGACAGAAGACATCGCTTAATTTATGAAATATTTGTTGGGATGGTTGCAAGGTCTTAATGCCCTGTTCTGTGCCTTATCACAGCTCCCATTGAGGTTTTAATTCTCTGAAACATTAAAACTACAATTATCCTCATAAGGCTATTGTTAATAAAAACGTGAGGTTTAGCATTCGGGTTAGAAATGTGAAGAAAAAGATGCAAATCAACATATGTGATTTCCACAACATAATTACCGACAAAAGTAAATATAGATGTATGAGCACATTTATGTGGAGATTTAACTAGAAAATATATGTAAATTAAGAGTGATAAAGATTATTAATAGAAGTGTAAAATAGAAGGTTTCTACAAAGGAAAAACTTGAAAACATCATAGGTAAAACAATCAATGGTTATGTACTAGAGTAGGTAGACAAATGATATAGACTTGATTGTCTTGAACCAATTATCTCTTAGAGTATGATTCGGCTCGAGAAGTCTTCAACTAGCTTGGAAAAGATATTTTGAACATAAGAGAAAAAGATAACTTTTGCTCACAAAGAGGCTTGCGGATGACAAGATTTGAGTGGAACTTAGAGAAAAAAAAAAGGTAAATGAAGTGAAGATGGTTTTGATGGAATAATCACAATTCACAAGGCATCATAAACTATCCAAAATTCTAAAGAATAAAACATCCCGACAACTCAATGATAAGTTGATAATATGCATGATCAGAATCTTAGGTGCTATTCTATAGAAAATGAAAATTTTCAAAATAACTTTAGTTTGGAGCCAAAGAGATCCAAGAAATAGTATGAACATAGAGAATGACTGGCATTTTTAAGTACAAACCGGTTCTGTATTGAGTGCGAAGGGCGTGCACTTATTGCCACACTGCATGAGCCTTGAGAGGAAACAGCCTCATCATCTTGAGATGAGTATCTGAAACATCTTGCTATAAGGATAAATAGTTATAAAACCCTTATTAGTTCATTTGAACTCCATTAGCTAAAGATAAAAAAACCACCCAGACTAACTAGATAAACACTATTCAAAATACCTGAATGAGAGCCAATAGACATGTCTTGATACTCAACTTCAGCTAGAGGCAGTGATCTACTTGATGAACTTGACTCTTCTTTTTTAGACAGTTTTCCCTTTTCATTTTGTAACTCCTTCTGTCTCATTCTTATTTGTGCTTCTATAATCCGCTGTTCTTCCTGCATAGTAAAAGTAATCCAAATAACTGACAGCCAGATAAAAGCAAAATTGCTGAATACAGCAACAAAGAGGATTAAGGTTTCATTTGGGATGGCTTTCTTAGTGCTTCTTAAAGCAGCTTTCTAGTATAAAAATTAGTAATAAAGTCGTCCCAAATGAAGCCTAAGTGAAATAACAAAGCAAATGATAAACAGAAGTGCAGAACTCACAACTTGTTCCACGCCCTTCTCTTCCTTAGATTTTGCACCTTTATATTCAACAGCATAGTTGGAGGTTTTGCAGAAAGGACATCTTAAGATGTTAAGTACACTAGTACCGAAATCCTTGATATGTTTCATATATAACGTACAAACTATTCAAAATAAGCGGAAGGATACTGTGAGGGTCTGGCAGAGTAAGACGGTTTCATCTGCAAAAAACACTCTGGCAAGAAGTAATTCCGCCATCAATGGAAAAAAAAATATATAATGTTAACATTAAGATATTCAATTTGATAGTTTTAAAAAATGCATTTATTGAATTTTTGTGGCACCTGTGCATATGCCTTTTGTGCAACATTTTGAGCGGTTAAGACTTGGGAAGTACTGAATACAAGATATTAAAAAAGGAAATATAAGAAAGGCAAAACAGGAACAATCACATTCCAATTTCCATGTTCACAAATTCAAGTGAATCAGCAAAGAAAAAAAGAAGCAACAGAGAAAAAATAATGAAAATAGTATCTTACCAGGAAACAGATGGGACATTCCTCAAGATCAAGCGTGCAGTCCTCATCATCTCCAGGATAGCAAGGAGCAAGCTTGGAATCAAGAATGAGCTTCCTAAGCTTCTTATGATCAATATCATGGAGCTGGTACAGCCCCTGCGGCCTAGTATACTTCTCATCAACCACCTGTCTCTTTCTCCCTATCTTGTTCCCCATCAATTTTCCCAACCAAACTGACTCCAAAGAGAGAAGTAAACCAATTAAAAAAATCTACTTTCTTTTCCCTCTTTCCTCACTTCATCGCATCCCCCAACAAAACAAGCAGAAAGCTCCAAAAGAAATCTATTTGCTTCTCCAACATCACATTACCCGCACGCCCTAGCCTCACATCCAACCGCGCCAAAGCCTGTCCATCCCGAAACCTGCAATACACCAGCCGAGCAACTCGTAAGACTGCTACAAACTGATAGCATAAACCCTAGTTCGCTTCTGCCGAGCCACTGAACGATAGAAAGCAAGGGAATGAAGAATCAACATACCAAGCAATGAAAAAAAAAACGACCTTTCTGCCGATAAATCGAGAAGTGCGGCGGGAGGAGGAGAAGATACAGTGAGAACGAGCGAACAACTGTAACCTGGCAGCCTGAGCCGGGAAACTTGAAGAGCGCCGCCGCCACCGTACAAGAAGTGAAGAACGGAAAGATCAGGTAAATGATAGGATGTGGCGATCCAGATGGAAGAAGAGAGAGAACAGAGAGAGGTCAAGGCACAGATTTGCAGAACTTTCTCTGCTATCAGAGCTTGGTCCTTTGCTTCGCTCCCTTCCACTTCCCTTTCTCTCTCCGGGAATCGCTTCGCCTATAAAAATATATAATTTATATCCACTTTTAAAACACGAAAATTCAAATATTATTTATTATTTTCAATATTATATATATTATTTAAATAAATTTTGCAATCAAAATTTCTCATTAAAAATATATAAATAATTTCAGAATAAGAATCAAACTATCAAAATATCTCATGAGTTTGAAAAATTATTACGTATGGTCATCAGACTATCCAGAGATGAATCATGATATGTCACGTCACCCTGTACATAACACCGTTACACAATAAAATAGTGATGTGGCTCGTCTTAATTTATCTTCGGACTTTGTCTGTCAACAACACCAGGCAAATAATCTCACGTGATAACTAATTTAGTCCATATTTAAAAATCAATTGGTCAAATTGATATTTTTATAAAATTCATAATTATTTTGATCATTCAGCAAAAATTAGGAAATTAATTTTCATTAAAAAAAATAATGGATGAAAAAAATGAATTTAATAATATTATTTTAAATATATAAATATATTATCTATAAATATTCATATACAATTGATTTATATATTTAATATATTATCTTATGTTGGTAGTTGAGATAATAAGCACCGTTTAGAGTTTTGTATTTTATTTTGTTTCCTTTAAAGGTTTTCGGGTCGGTTATCGGACTGTAGGAAAAGAGAGGGAATCGGGTTAACGGGTCGCGAGTTTGTTAAAGTTCCGATTTGCTTTTCATTGATTGCGGGAGATGGCGTGCAGGGTCGGTTTCGGACCAGCTGCGGCAGAGCAACGCTTTAGGGTTGTGGCCGTTGTCGTGTTGCGGAGGGCCCGACGTGACCTGTGATGGAAAACGAACTGTCTTTGGAAATTGGAGATGGGATTTGAATTGGTATAAGCGGGATTTACATTTCAAAAAAAAAAATTATTTATATATTTCATATTTAGATTTAATTATTTATAATTTAAGGTTTAGATATTTAAAAAAATAATAATAATAATACCCTTACTTTTCTTCATTTCAATATGTCGCCACAATGTTTATGTCGCTACGTTGCCAAACCTGACACGCTGATAATTTATTATCATGATCATCTTCATGTGCTGTGAGCAATGTGAGATATTTGAAGGTAGGATTCGTCGAGACCCAAAGTTCATTAACAACGTGTTATTTTTGTAAATAGTGATGCTCTTGCGTGCAATATGCAAATTAAGGTGTAGAGTGATATCCATGTAAATTCTTCTTTTTTATAGATATTATTGTGAGACGGGATATTTTAGGCGTTAGAGAGATGGAGTGTTAACGTCCCAGTTTCGTATGAAGATCCAGCACAAATAGATTAGAGAGAGCGACGCAAGAGCCATGAGAGACACCATAATTTTAAAATAGAAAACACTGAAAATGGACAAAATCAGAAGGCCCTACTCAGTTATTCCACTAGTGTTTGTTGTTGATTACAAGTAATATCCTTTCTCAGGGAACGGTGTTAGCACAATGTAGCAAATATATATCATATATAGCACATTATATGGTTATAGTTGAAGAATCCATTGATATGAGACTTGTTCTCAAGAGATGAGCGATGGTTGTTTGAGGGACCGTAGTCAGCGCGCAGTATGTCGTCGGAAGAAGTCGCAATAGAGATCTCTAGGACAATGTGATATAGCTTGCTAGAGAAAGGCTTCTATGATAGTGCAAGGAAAACAAAGTCACGATGAAGCTCGATATGCTAGCAGTACATGAATAAAAAATGGAGTTAAATTGGAGAGATATTCAACGATGAGATTCGTTGAGACCTAAACTTAATTAAGAAGGTTTGGCTTTTGTAAATAGTGAAGTTTGTGTATGAAATATACAAATCAAGATGTTTGAGTGATGTCAAATAATCTAGCATTATAATGGTGAAATTAGAAAAAGATTGAAGTAACTATCTTTGTTGTATTTTAAAAAAAAAGTATATATATTTATATAAATATTAAAATACAATTTAAAGTTTTTTTTTATTTGAGTTATATTTGATCTAAGCTAGGCTCAACTTAAGTATGAGTTATGTTGACTAATTAGCTTGTTGATTAACTCACTGATACATTGACTCTTTTTTTTCACTGATACGTTGACTTAGTTTAGTTTTCAGACTTAATTATTGAGTATAATTTTAAATGATAAATTAATAAATTACTATATGATTTTGATAATATAGTAAATGCTTTATATACATACCACTAGTTTTTTTAGGTATTTATGTATCTAGAACTTAAATATTTATATGTAAATATATATCATTTGTCTAAAATACATCAAAATATATGTGTTGGGTCCTGGAACATTCGCGACGGTAGAGTGATATAAAGTTTAGCGTCCTAGTTTTATATGAAGATCCAACACACAAACGGATAAAAAAGAGTGTAACATTTAAAAGAGAGACCATAATTTTTACGTGAAAATTTATGAAAAAAAAAAAAAAAAACACGTGGTCTAACCCAATTTGAATGAAAACACTTGTATCGGTGATTGGTTACAAATAATACCTTTCCTCGGATGAGTGTGTTAGCTCAATGTAGCAAATATACATTCTAGAGCTAATTCCAAGTCATGTTTGCATCAATATTCGTGCGCAATCAAGAAGATTTTTTATGACATATCAATATGTATGAAAGATGTGTTTTTACTTGCAATAAGTTACATTTGTGATAATTTTTATGTGGTTTAAAAAGTTAAGTGTTATACAAGTAGATATAAAAATTTAGTTGTTAAATATGTAAATAAATACGAATTTTGTGGTATGCACAATGCTGTGAAAACCGGATCAGACAACGAACCGGAAGAATGAGAGGTTCACAGGTCGACCGGACCGGTCGACCCGGGGTCGAACCGGATGACGTAATAATTAATAAATAATAATATCAATATATTATTAAAAATTCAGTTGGAATTATATTGCTACAAGCTTCAACAATTGGTGAATTTCAAGAGAAGCATGTTCATGAAGTAAGTGTGTAGTATATTGATATATTCATGCTTGTGTTATCACTACTAAAGTTAGCTTTGATGATAATTAATGTATATTCTTCCCAGACTTGCAATATTTAACTGTTACCACTTACCAGCACTCTGCTAGTTCATAAATGTACATATATCTATATATGAAGTTCAAAAGAATGTAAATGTCAAGATAAATTCTACAGAAGTATTCTGCCTAGAAATTTATTGAGTTGTTCCATATGAAGAATAAATCATATGAACTTAACTAATTAAAAGGCCAAATCTCTTTAATAATAATATGCCTTTGCATTCGAATATCGATATCTAGTAGATCATACAACAACTTTAACAATGCAAGCAGTGCACAAAGTAGCAGGTTATGAGTAGCAGAGCACTTTGATATTTTATGTTTATGAAAATACCTTGAGGAATATCTTGAGAAATAGAAGCAGATTGACCCACATTTGCTCTTTGTGAATATCTTCTATTTTGAAACCAGTTCCAAACCTACAAACTTCAAAATAAATAAGGTTTGCGAGGTTCCTCGTTTAAAAAGAAAAAAATACAAGAAAGGACTCTTTTAAAAACATAGAGTTTTACCTGTATATGAAAATTTCATTTACTTGTTCAATTTTATTCTGTCAGGTATGGCAGAAAGTCAAGAAATAATCAGAAGTAGAATCGCTTAATTGACAATCAGACAACTTCATCTCCCTCAAAGAGCTGAGTCTGTTGCTGCAGCTCTCTATGATAAAATTATCAAAAAAGTGAGTTGTCTTCTGCTGTGGTCCATGAGAGATCACACAAGTATAGTCTTCTGATAGTTCAATCTCGCTAACAGAAAGGTGCAAACCTCGTGGAGAATTGTCCATGCTTGGAATGGTAGAAGCCAGAGGGGATCTTCTCCCAGGAGAAAGAACAGCCATGGCTAATTGCGAGTTCTTATTTTTTATGCCAAATTCGATTGGGGAGTGAGGAGATTCCACCAACAGAGTTCTAGAAGAAGAATTTTGGTTGATAGAAAGGATCTGAACTTTGAGCTGAGACCCAAACAACACTAATTTTGGTTTTCTGTTTGAGAATAAGGGATTCCCAATTGTGAAGAAGGGCTTGAAGTTTAAACTGGAATTTGGCCTAGTAACAACAGCCAAAGAATCTGAGAAGACTGTAGGAGAGAAGCTCGAAAAGGGATTAATGGATGGAAACATGGAAATATAATGGATCATGATCAAACAAAACCTATAGTTAAACCTTGTTTATAATGATCAAACAATAATAACAAAAATAGGAAATATGGTCTCTAAATGATAACATAATTGCCAGATCAATAGGCACAAAAGACACATTAAATAATCTTCTTTTACAAAAAGTTGTTCCAGGAGAGCTAATACATAATATAATGGATCATGATCAAACAAAACCTATAGTCAAACCTTGTTTATAATGAAAACCTAAAACCCAGAACACTCCTACTATATCTAATAATCATCAACAAAATTTGTGAGATCAAAAGATGGATTCCCAAATCCCTCTTACAAGAAGCAATGTTACCATTAACTTCTGCTAAATGCTGCTTCATCCTATTAATACCTCCACCCTTATAAATTATTCCATAATGAAGACATTTGTATTGCTTCTTACCATCAGCAGTTTTAGACTCAATAAAATGGTTCAAAGCAATATCTACCTTCTCCCGTACGCTTTGACTTAGAGGGGCCAGTGGATGGTTTTGTTGATCCATGGGTAATATTAAGCTAAAAATGTGGTTAGAGCTAAGTTAATTAAAAGAAACTTCACCATTTAAATGTATAATCAAAGGATAATTCTAATTGAAAAACTTCAAAGACAAAGCAATGCATAATTGGTGTGGTCGAATCCATAATTGGTGTGATCAAGTATAGAGTAGTTCTAGTTCACAAGAAAATTCATAAAGAGAAGAAAATTTGACGAAGCATAAGGTTATCAGGTAGTTTGAACTTTGAATCATTGAAACACAAATAATAACAGATATCTATAGTCACTAAACAAGCTAGTTTGAATCATTGAATTCAACTCTCATAATGAAGAAATTCAACAAGCTCGTTATTTGATTGGTTTCCTATCTTACATTGAAATCATTGTCATGCAAAATAGCTATGGAGCCATGAGAAAGCCACCATAGCAATCATTATGTCAACAAGAGAAAACTACCTTATCCAGCACATACAAGTCCTAGCAATGTAAGAAGACAGCAAGGAGAAGTGGATAAAATCTAGCATTCTGTTGGATGTGTTTATAAGTTAATATTGATTTTGATATTGATAAAATCTTAGACTTCTTATAGTTTGATCTTCTGCTAGGAAATAATAATAGTTTTTAAATTTACAAATAATATCATAGGTTAACGGTTAACCTATTTTTAATTTCAACAATTATATTTTTGTGAAAGATTTTTTATCTTGCTATGTATCTCTTCCACTTCAATTTTAAAAATGGATATTTTGGAGAAAATGATTGGAATGCTCTCATCTTGAAATTTTTGAATGGATTATGTTTGTACACAAACTACTTTATGCACTGCTCTTGCAAGAACAACTTTTACGGTTTACCGAATAAATATTCTGTCTCCAACTGAGTTTATACACCAATCAACATACATAATGTAGGTTGATGTTGAAAATTATTTAAAAGTCTTGTACACATCTCCCATAAGTTCAAATGCTAACCCTTGCAAATACATTAATATTTTTGGGTTTTTTTTTTTCATTTATTGTATTTTAAAACTAAAGAAAGAGGAATGGAAAATCACTTGTAAAGTGTAAACATCTCCCAGAAGTTCTAATCCGACCCATTTCTATACATTTCAACCCATCAAAATGGCATAGACATTATAATTTTATTCAAAAGAGAAGTAAAAAATAAAGATGAATGGAAAATCACTTGTAAAGTGTAAACAGTAAACTAAAATTTGAACTAACCGTCGAAATCAGAGAAGCGGATTTCCAAACTGAAGAATATACGCCCAACAAGCTGAAATTCGGAAAAAAAAATTTACATTTTAGAATAGGAAATTCAAATTAAAAACATACATGAAAAAAAAAAAACATTCATGGTTTTGAGTTTTGACAAAAAAAGAACTTTAGAAACAAACGATACAAAACAGAATGAGCGAGATTTGCGAACGAGTTGTCCTCTTCGGTGTCGGCTTCCGGCTTCGTGACCAGGAACTTCAGAGACCAGCGAGAAGAGCGAAAATGGAGCTGGAACGTCGAGAAGGAGAAGAACCCGAACAGGCGAAACGAGAAGAAGCAGGCGCGACAAATGAAATAGGGTTTATTTTTATCGCATAAAGAAGCGTACCAAAGCATCTAAGCCGTTTGATTCCTAATGCTTCGCTAAAATGGTGCGATTGCTGAACCAGCCGGTTATCCGAAATCGGGACCGGTTCGGCAGTTCGGCAGTCGAACCGGCGGTTCGGCAGTCGAACCGGCGGTTCGGCAGTCGAACCGGCGGTTCGGCAGTCGAACCGGCGGTTCGGCAGTCGAACCGGCGGTTCGGCAGTCGAACCGGCGGTTCGGCAGTCGAACCGGCGGTTCGGCAGTCGAACCGGCGGTTCGGCAGTCGAACCGGCGGTTCGGCAGTCGAACCGGCGGTTCGGCAGTCGAACCGGCGGTTCGGCAGTCGAACCGGCGGTTAATATTTTTGGGTTTTTTTTTTTCATTTATTGTATTTTAAAACTAAAGAAAGAGGAATGGAAAATCACTTGTAAAGTGTAAACATCTCCCAGAAGTTCTAATCCGACCCATTTCTATACATCTCAACCCATCAAAATGGCATAGACAGTATAATTTTATTCAAAAGAGAAGTAAAAAATAAAGAGGAATGGAAAATCACTTGTAAAGTGTAAACAGTAAACTAAAATTTGAATTAACCGTCGAAATCAGAGAAGCGGATTTCCAAACCGAAGAATATACGCCCAACAAGCTGAAATTCGAAAAAAAAAATTTACATTTTAGAATAAGAAAATCAAATTAAAAACATACATGAAAAAAAAAAAAACATTCATGGTTTTGAGTTTTGAAAAAAAAAAAAAAAAAGAACTTTAGAAACAAATGATACAAACCAGAATGAGCGCGATTTGCGAACGAGCTGTCCTCTTCGGTGGAGCTATCCTCTTCGGTGGCGGCTTCCGGCTTCGTGACCAGGAACTTCGGCGACCAGCGAGAAGAGCGAAAATGGAGCTGGAACGTCGGGAAGGAGAAGAACCCGAACAGGCGAAACGAGAAGAAGCAGGCGCGACAAATGAAATAGGGTTTTTTTTATCGCATAAAGAAGCGTACCAAAGCATCTCAGCCGTCCGATTCCTAATGCTTCGCTAAAATGGCGAGGTTGCTGAACCGGCCGGTTACCCGACACCGGGACCGGTTCGGAGGTTCGGCGGTTGAACCGGCGGATCGAGGTTCGAGCGGTCGAACGCCGATTTTATGATTTCCCAGTTTTGTTTTGAACCATAACCGGCCGGGCGACCGGTTCGAGGTTCAACCGGTTGAACTAGCCGGTCCGGTCCGGTTTTCAAAACCTTGGGTATGCATGTAAATCTCCCTTGATAAATTAAAATTATATAAGTTATATTGTTTATATTGAATAGACAAAAAAATATACTGTTATTTTGAATTTGAGCTCTCTTTTTATATTATATTCTTTAGAGATAGTAATAATTATCTTTCTTTATTTCTTCAATATTTAAAGATGATGTAAATTTTATAAAAATAAATAAATATTAAGAAATAAATGTCATTTTAATTTAAATATTACATAAGATTGATTGAATTGATGTGACTTAGGCTTCGTTTGGGACAGCTTTCTTAAAACAGTTTTTTAGAACAAAAATTTTAATTTTTGAACTAGAAAGCTGCTTTAAGAAGCAGTAAGAAAGTCGTCCCAAACAAAACCTTAGTCTCTTTTAAGATTTTAATTTTAAAACAGAAAAATAATTTGCATCGTATCCAAATTTATCCTTAGGCGACACCCGACTTTATTAACAAAGGTTTAGCAAGCCAAAGAAATGGAATAGTGAGAAAATCAGTAAATATGAAAAGTGTGCAAGAAGCTAAGATATCTATGTGATAGAATTAAGTTATCCACACTGAGCTGATATGTCACTAGCGATGACTCAATATTAAATGGATCAATCTTGTTGTGGACTATAATATACGCGGCGATAGAGTTTTAATCGTCCGTCCGGCGGAGTGACGGCGTGTGACGCCCCAGGCATCCATAGTGAAAGGATTCGTCGACAGTCTTGATCAACCATCACTTTCTGCTCCCTTTGCTCGGACCTGAAATTGTTAACCACATATAATGAGATTCAAAAAGCCCAACAGGTCACCAAAAGCCTACAACTGAAATCAAAGCACGGTACAGAAGTAATATGCATATAAATCAATCAATCAATAATAGTCACTTGCACATGATCATTTAATCTATGCGGATACGAAAATCAGTAATCAATACAGTAATAGAAATCAATGCATAAACAATAGAATCCAAAATCATCAGTAAGAGAATCAGTAAACAGTAGAAAATCCACAATGTCTAATAAATCAGTACATGCATCAATCTCTACAGTAGTCGTCTTATCTATAATATCAGTTTATAACATCAGTCGAATCAATGTAGTCGAATCGTATCAAAACGTACACTTGCAAATTCCAGTTATTCAATATCACTTGCTCCATAAATCATATGCAATCCAGTAATCAATATCAAGTGTATAATGTAAATACAGTGAATCAGTAGTAGTAGCATATGTATCAATATCAGTAATAATCCAGTGACGACATGAACGATTATGCTATAACAGTGAAATCGTGCAGTAACAGTAAATCCGTACAATAACGATAAATCCGCACAATAACGATTTGCACCAGTGCCAAAAATCATGAAAAAAATAGTGTAACTAAATCACTACAGTATCTATGTTATGACGAAATAATTCAAAATAATTAGATAAGCTTTTAAATAAATACAAATGTAAATTTCATATGCATTACACTTAATTCAAAATAAATTCATGATACTAGATTTTGTTTGAGACAACTTTCTTAATGCTTTATAAAATTATTTTTTAATTCAAAATTATCTTGAATTAGAAGTATTTGTACTAAAATACTGCTTTAAAAACAGTAAGAAAGTTATTCCAAACAAAAATTAAACTCCATCGTAATAATTTAGATATTATGGTATGACTCAAAAGTTTTCTTTATTTTATAATATTTATTTTGCTATTATATGTAAATATCTTAATATTGAATTATATTTTCATTATAAAAATATTTTATTATTTCTAAATTTATTAACAAATATAAATAAAAAAAATTTATGATATTTAAATATAATCAAATATTATCTATTCATTCTGATAACATCCAGGCCCAAAATAGTTAGGCCCGAGACCCTCACCCATTGGGTCGCCATCGTCCTCCCGCGGAAAGTCAGGTCGCGCTTTGAAAACAAATAAATTATTTCGACCAGAAATTGCACCTTCTGTTTGACCCAAGCTACCTGTCCTCTCTCCTGAATACCTGAAATTGCCACGTGGCATAATTTCACAATGTTGGTGCCGACCAAGGGTCCATTTTTCCCTCCGAAAAAACGGGCAGTTATATTTACCTCGTGAAGGCGCTGCGAATGGAGTATGCTCGCCATTAATGGAAGCTGGACTCTGACCGGTGCTTCCGGCGTCAGAAAGGCGTTTCAGGTTCTTGAAAAAGACCGAGCTCTTTCCTTCGTCGTTCTCTTCTTCTCACCTCATCATTCATATAATCTCTTTCCTCCTCTACCTTTATCTTTCTCTCTCTCGACATCTCTCACTCCCTCGGAGGTTTTTGCGGTTCATGGGAACCAATCAAGATTGTTCTAGTCTGTGAGTGGAGGAAACCCTACTTCAGTCTTTCTTCTTGGCTTGTTTCTACTATCTTTTTCGTTGCTTTGGTTCTTGCATTGTGTTTTCTAGGGTTTGTTTGTGAAAATGAGATAGGGCTACCACGCGATAACTCTCATTTTGTTTGGGATTCGCAGTAGTTTCAGTGGGTTTCGGATTTTTGAAATGCAATGCGGTGATTTGGGGCTGTTATGCATGGCTATATGGTTTGATTGGAAATTTGGAATGCTGGTAATGTAGCAGGGAAAAGGGGGGAGAAAGAGTGAGTTGCTAATGTTGAAGATTAAATATATGATTATAATCAATCCTCACAATCAAAGCTTTGGACTCTCAAATTAGAAGATTAAATATATGATTAGAAGCAGACAACCAAAGTGCATAAGCTCGCATGAAATTCTCTCTTGAATGAAAAATTACCTCTCTCCCCATTTCTGTTAGGGAACAGTAACTACTTTAAAAACGGGTTGAAACAAAATATGTAATTTTTCTCTTTTTTTAAACACTAGTTCAGCTTCAGGATGAAATCAATAATTTTTCAAGACAATTTGAACGTGCTTTGGTTTATAGAGAGAGAGAGAGAGAGAGAGAGTTTTTCCATTTAAAATTGCTTTTAGGCTTGGCTGTCCTTGAGGAGTGGGAGAGGTCTCAGGAGTGAGGACTTCCTACAGCGGGATTTTTTTCTTCAACGTAATTGAGCTCTATATTGTACTTGTGCATTCATGAAATCGATTTCTTAATGTTTTTACATATGAAATAATTAAAATGCTTATTTTTTCCGAGCTTTTTCTATCAATCATGTGATTAAGCACTTGTTGCCAAGAGAAAAGTGGGGCTATATGTGGAGACTAACTTGCGCTGATAATTTTTTTTTCTTTCCTTGCAGCAGTGTAATAATTCATTTTGTATTTCATGTTCTTTGATTCTTGTTGTATTTACTATTCAGTTCGAAGGAACATTTTTCCTAAAAAAAAAAAAGAAAAAAGAAAAAAACAAGATCCCACCCAAGCTCCTTCAGTGTGGCTATTAAATTAATTCAACTAAAACTTCTTTTGTTTTACCTTCTATTCTTCAAGGTTAGAAGAACAACACATGCTTTTTTACTTGCCAATTTTCATTTTACTCATCTATAATGATTGCTTTCTTTGTTATTTCATTGGAAATTTCATGTCATGTATCACTGCATAATTTTACATGTTAAAAATGTATCTTCATGTCATGGCCTTCTTCTATAATGTAATGTTTTCCGATTTGCATGTTTCAATTTTACAGTAGCAGAATGGGTGGCCAACAGGAAGGTATCTGCCCTATGTGCATGGAGGAAATGGACTTAACTGATCAAGAGCTGCAGCCTTGCATTTGTGGATATGAGGTGCAAACCATCTGTATTTACCTTGAGCTTTTAGATTATCGGGGTGACTAATTTGGCTCAGTTTGTTCTCATTTGTTTTTTAATAGTTTTTAAGTTTATCTTAAGTCTTTGTAGGCTGCAAAGACTAAGGCAATGCAATGTTTCTCGATTTGCAGTCTGCCTTGCTCTTGAATGTTATAAGATATGCAATTTGAATTGCACTTTAAAATTTTATCATTTTTCTTGCTTGTTGTTTCAATGGCTAAACATTTTCCATTGGTCGATACTAAAATGACATACAAAACAATTAGCAAAATAGAGGCAAAGAGAAGGAGAAGTCTGGAATTAATTCCATTCCTTTGATAATAAAAAATCCCATAGGTAATACAGAGAATGTGTATACAAATAGAGTTGGAGTAGTGTGCCCAGAGGAGTAGGCCTCGTTAAGCACAGACTGGGAACATGTGTAGTGGAGCCGTATATGGTTGAGTAGGTGTTGTATGATAGGTGAGGTGTACTGGCAGTATATGTTAGTGGTTCTAACATATACAAGTTTGAAACTTTTAGGTTATGAATCCTAAACATCTTCCATTGGTGGATATAGGGTTGAAATTTTTAGGTTTTGAATCCTTCTTTATCTGAAGTTGTTCTGGAATTGAAGATGCGTAATGAAAGCTTTTTATCATTTTCGTTGGAAATTGACATGTCATGCAGTCAATATAGTATTTCTATTGCAACTATGATGCATTTTGTCTTCTTTAGGAATGTATGCAGTTCTTGCATCTAGTTATGTTAGATTGTTACTTTTTTATCTCTTTATAGTGTCATTTACTCGCGTATATCCTGCGAAAGAAAGATTGCATTTATATCATCTGAAACTAATATACATGCTTTTGGCTTTTGCTGTAATTCCATTCCTTTGATAATAAAAAACCCCATAGGTAATACAAACTACAAAGAATGTGTATACAAATAGAGTTGGAGTAGTGTGCCCAGAGGAGCAGGCATCGTTAAGCACAGACTGGGAATGTGAGTAGTGGAGCCTTATATGGCTGAGTAGGTGTTGTATGATATGTGAGGTGTACTGGCAGTATATGTTAGTGGTTCTAACAGATACAGGTTTGAAACTTTTAGGTTATGAATCCTAAACATCTTCCATTGGTGGATATAGGGTTGAAATTTTTAGGTTTTGAATCATTCTTTATCTGAAGTTGTTCTGGAATTGAAGATGCCTAATGAAAGCTTTTTATCATTTTCCTTGGAAATTGATATGTCATGCAATCAATATAGTATTTCTATTGCAACTGTGATGCATTTTGGCTTCTTTAGGAATGTATGCGGTTCTTGCATCTAGTTATGTTAGATTGTTACTTTGTTATCTCTTTATAGTGTCATTTACTCGCGTATATCCTGCGAAAGAAAGATTGCATTTATATCATCTGAAACTAATATACATGCTTTTGGCTTTTGCTGACTATAAGACTGGAATTACATTGTCGCATTATATTTGACGCCTTAAAAATTTCTAAGGCAAGTTTCATGCATAATTAGATTGTAGACTTTTGCTTGCAATCTTTTTTTGTGCTAAGGAGTTCGAATGTCTAGCCTGAGCCTGAACATATATATGTATTAAAGATCATAATGGAGACATGGAAAACAATATTCAAATTATCATTTTAATCATTTAATATTTCATTTAACCCGATCTCAAAATGAGGATCCTTCAGATTGTTGTTGCAACCATCATTACATTTGGGCAGAGAGTGTATTTTTCTTGTATGTTAGTTAGCATCAGTACCTATTCAGTCTTTCGTGATAACATTTTGTTAGACCAATCCCCAATGGATCGGTCCAACCTTCCCTGGATAAGAGGCCGGTTCAAATGTATAGAAGTGGTCCGCCTCCTTTGAATTAGCTGCCAATAGGGGTGCCGACAATGGAAGGTGGGGCCCATGGGATTAATATCAATTAAGAGGGCAGCGGCTAGGATTAGAGAGGAGGGATTTGCTTTAAATAAAGAAGATATTAGGAGAATTAGGGCATGCTTGTTATTGTATTATCGTGGAGTTCTTTTGGGTTTTGGGCTCTAGACTCATCGTCTAGAGATTGGGAGAGAACGATCCTCCTCTCGAATCGGGGATCAATTGTATCTTTGCTTGTTCTTGCTTTTGGTTTGATTCCTATAATATGGAGATATTAAGATTTTCTCGCTGTTTTTATCAATCGTGTTAGGGTTTACTTGAAATACTTGAGTATTTCCTATCACATTTGTGTAATGGGACCCAATTATTTTATTTTATTTTATTTTATTTCATTACATGTAAATGGCTGCATAGATGTGATTTATTTAAAAGTCTTCTTTATTGCATAAAATTCAGATTTTATTTGCGTGTTTTGAGATTTGCTTTTGTCAGTGAACTTAATAGTAACATGTTTCATGTTGCATATATAATTTAGATGCATTTATTCCCGCTATCGTTTGAAAATAATGATTATAGTGTTATTGCCTAATCAGTTTAATGTTATATGACAAATGATAAATACTGCATGGTTTAAAAGATTCTAGTGGATTTTTAGGTGGAAAAATTAGCACCGCCCAGTTAGAACCTGCCTGAATGTCATCATAACTTTGCTACGTAAGATGTGGAGATATATGCCTAAGCAAGACTGATTTGCTTTTGGGTTTTGAGGATTGGGCCATGAGATCTTAATAGCATGTAAATTAAATTGCAGTAAACCTTCAAATGCATTATTTGTGTTTGCGTAGCATGCATATTTTCTGTTTTTAATTTCTGCAGTCACAGTAAAGTGCGTGGAGTTTGTCTTTTTTCGATATGTTAACTTTCTTTATGTTCCTTTTAGTTTTTTTGTACTCATTTTATTTTTATACTTTCATTTTTTCAACAGATATGCTTGTGGTGCTGGCATTTCATAATTCAAACAGCTACTAAGGATGGTAGTGATGCGCGGTGCCCTGCATGCCATAAACCCTATGATAAGGAGAAGATTTTGAAAAGGACAATCAGCAAAGAAAGGCATGTATTCAATACAGAGTGATGCTAGACTAAGGCTTCGTTTGGGTTGGCTTTCTTACTGCTTTTTAAAGCAGCTTTCTAATATAAAAATTAAAATTTTTGTATTAAAAAGTTGCTTTAAGAAGTAGTAAGAAAGCCGTCCCAAACGAAGCCTAAGTTTTTAGTTGACCCAACACTCCACAGCAAAAAAAATAAGGAATTTTGAAAACCCTTTCTTGCTTAAAATTGTATTTTTTTTAGAAATCTGTTTCAATACATTGTTTTAATGTTTAGCTTTTCTTTCAAATGTTCATTGAAAATCAGATTAGAGATGGTAAATGCCAACAAGAAGCACAAGCTGCAAAAGAATAAGCAGAGACTGACAAATTTAGGGATTGATCTCAATAGCATTCGTGTGATAAGGAGAAATATTGTATATATTGCCGGGATTCCTAAAAGTTTATCTGATGAAAAGGTTTGCATACCTTTTCTTGCTGTTCAAATTATTTTGAATTTTGATTTTGAGTTTACTTGTTTGTCTTGTGTTTATATGTTAAGATGGCGGGCATTTAAAATTTTCTTTTAAAGATCTTCAGAATTAATTTGTTTGAGTAGAACATATTTGAACTTCCTTTTGAAATCAGAATTATGTTCTTTGCAGACGCTTAGGAAGAAGGAATACCTGGGACAATATGGAAAGATTGTCAAGATTTTTTTTGCACAAACAGACACATCACGTCAGTATTATTCATCAGACTCTTGCATAGTGTAAGATATTCTAATAGAGAAAAAAATCTATTATTTATCTTGGAGCTCTATTACTTTGTTTAATGCTATTATGCTTGATATTTTGTTTAATATTGAAATAATAGTTTTTCTTCTTCGTTGGAAGATTGTACTTGATCAACAAGAAACCTGCACAGCATATCCTTTAGCAATGCAGAAAATAAAGATGCAGACCTGCAACTACGTGCATCTTCTATTAATGCCTTTTTTCTTTCAATTTTTTTATTCCTTCAGAGGAGATGTGCATTCATGGTTCCTTATTTTAGGATGCTTTATGTTTCTTTAACATGTGGTATTTGTGACCCATCACCATTATGATAGGAAACACTTGAGTTCGTAAGTAATCCAAGATGAAATATTTGAGTTCGAAAGCAACCCTAGCAATAATTGGCCAAAACAGCGAGAAAAACAGAAAATCTGGAGGAAATCAATTTAAGAACGGTAGATTGCAATAGTAGAAACAAAGCAAAAATAAACTCCAAGCAAGATACAATTGATCCTCAATTCGAGAGGAGGATAGTCTCTCCCAATCTCTAGATTTTGGATCTAGAGCCCAAGACACCAAGAAGCCTCCAAGAGAACACTCCAATTCATGCATAACCCTAACCCTAAACAAGCCATACTATTAATACAGTATTTCCCTAATTCAAACATCCTTAATTCAAAATTTCCCTCTCACCCTAGCCGCCCAACTCACTCTCATTAATTTTCTCGTTGTGAGGCCCACTAGTTTGGGCGGCAAGATGGAAGGGAGGTTGCACTTGTCCGCCTCCTATAAACCTGAGGCTGGCTGGGCCAGTTCAGGTTGAACCGGCCTAACACATTAATTTTAATTCTGAATGTCACACATACAAAGATGTCTACAAGTGTAAACAGACGGGATATTCATACATTTCTTGATTAAACTATTATGTTCCCTGTTTTACATGGGCACAAGTGCAGACAAATGGACATTCATTCATTCCCTTAACCTGTTGTCTCCTGTTTCACGTAAACATAAAGTTGTATTACTTTAACTTGACATTTTTTTTCTTCTCTCTAACTTGTCTTTTCCTTCGTGTCTATCCGTAAAAGTAAAAAATATCTAAAGAAGAGCCTTGATTCTTTAAGGGTGTGTTTGGGACGACGTTGCTACTGCTGTGCTATATGAAAAGCATTGCAATGCTTGTTTGGGCTAATCACGTCACAAGCAGTTACAAAAATTTCTGCTTCCCCACGCTGCTTTGCGCGACCATACCCTATCTCCCACGGTCCGCTGCTTTCCGCGGTATCGAAGGTAGAAAATTACGTAAATGCCAACTTCATGCGAGAGTGCGATCATTTTCGCGATACACACGCGCTCATCTCCACGATATTCGTCGTTGTCGAGAAGCCTCTTCACTCTTTTCTTAGCGCAATACTGACGATCAAAGTGCTTCACCTGTTTAAATGCATCAGAAATTGGGGAAATTTTCTTGTTTCAAGAAGTAGAAAGGCAGGTAACAACGATACCCAAGTGGGGCGACAACTCTTGAAGAATTCGTCTCTGGAACTCTTGCATTCGGCCGGGAATAGAAGGCCGACGGTCGCCACCTCCGTTGGCTTCTTATCCGCCTCCTTCTCCAAGCAAGAATAGAAGGCGTCCCGAGCCTAATTATCACCATGCGGGAGGCCGGAGCTTGAAGAGTGGCTTTTGGCTGGGAAGGCCAATGAGACTTTGATCCAGGATAGTCCTTGAGAAGGCCACGATCATTTAGTTCTTATAACTAAAAATAAATATTAGTTAAAAGATTAGAATGAGAATTTGACTCTTAATATTCAAATCATTAAGTTTTTTAAAGAATTTTATTCTCATCTAAATATATACATGGGTAGCAAAGTAGTTTATGCTTATAGAGCTGCAGCACAGCAGGTAAACAGTTGAACTTCCCAAATAAGATATACTATTTTTTATACAGCAACTTCAGAAAGCAGCTTTCTGTACAACAACATCACAACCTGCTTTACCGACAGCTGAAGCCGTTCCAAACGGACCCTAAGTTATGTTTGGTTTAGTGCCATTTAGATATGAATGCTTTTAAGATGTTGGTGCTATTAGATTTCAGTGTTATTTTTCAAATATTAGATTTAATCTTACCAGTGTTATTGGGATTGCTGCCATTGTTTTACCTCTTGTTTTCTTCTTAAATCTAAAGTTTAGCGGGGCTGCAGTAACACGAAAGCTGATCCATATTTTAACAAAAAATATTAGAATTATTTGGAATAAAATATGGAAGTGTTCTTCCAAGAAATAAGCGCTTGTTTGTCTGCTTTTGGTTTCTTGTCTTTTAATATAACACTAAGATGATCCACATCAGTTCCTTCCGGCATCCTGAGAATTGAGTGATGTATCAGCAACATCAGGTGGGAAATAGGGATAGATGTCTGAAATGTAGAAAGTGGAAGAGGTGAGAAATTCAGGAGGTAGATCCACAATATAAGTATTGTCATTGATTTGCCACGAAATGGGAAAAGAACCAATCTCGCGAAGACTAAGTTTGGTCTAAGTCCCCATCCGCAACATCACAAACTTGGTTGAAATGTCTTTCTACGAAGATGTATATTTGCACTAACTTGGTAGGTTGCATTAGCTGCTTGCAATTTTGCCTTGACACCTTGTAGCATATCCTTGGACTATTTAGCGATTCTTCTGCAATTGGGCTTCCACGTTTGGGTATCACAATGAGATCAAGTGATTATCATTTTTGGTATAAACAATGCTAAAAGGGTATTGATTTGTGGATCAGTTGGACATTGTATTAAAAGAAAATTTGGCCTGGATGAGTAACTCTTCCCACTATTTAGGATGATGTTGCACAAGGCACCTTAGCATATTACCCAATGTTCGATTCACTAATTCAGTTTGGCCATCCGTTTGTGTGTGATAGGTGAAGCTTAACTTGATATCAATATTCAACCTCTTCCATGATTCTCACCAAAAGTGACTCATAAATCGCACATCTCAATTAGATTGGAGCCTTCTTGGTATGCTGTGAAGATGCACAATTTCTTTGAAAAAAAGCTGGGCCACATTTAGAGCATCAATAAGTTTTCTTGCATGGTATGAAATGTGTCATATTTGAAAATTGACCCACAACAACCATAATAAAATATGATTTATGCTTACTTCTAAGTAGACCTAACATAAAATCAAGACTTAACTCTTCCCAAATAGAATCGGGAATAGAAAGTGGCGAGTACAACCTTGTATTTTGGCTTGTTCCTTCATAAATTTGGCAAATGGAACAACACTCAACAAATTGTGTGACATCTTGTCATAGATGCGACTAATAAAAACAATGCTGGAGTTGAGTGAGTGTTTTGTTTCGGCCTACATGATCCGCTAGCCCTCCACAATGGATTTCTTTTATAAGCTGTTGCCTACAGGATCAATCAGGGATGCATAAGAAATTGGCCTTTGAAGTATCCGTTTCTTAAAGTAAAATTGTTAGCAGGGTGGCCCGTAATACACTGAATCCATAGTTTTGCGAAATCCTTATCAATTTCATACATTTATGCCAATACTTTTAGACCTGTGAGTTCTGTTTGCAATTGGACTAGCAATGATGCTTGACGACTCAGAGCGCCAGCTACTCGATTTTGTTTTCCACCCTTGTGTCTGAATACAAAATTGAATTTATGCTTGAATACAATCCAACAAGCATGCATACAATTAATATTTTTCTAATTATTAATATATTGCAGTGCTTGATGATCACTTCTGAGCACAAAAACCCTATGAGGTAGGAAGTGCTCTCATTGTTTCAGTGTCTTATAACAACATATAGTTCTTGATCATAAACAATTCACTTCTGCCTAGCTAGACTTAATTTTTCACTGAAAATTCCATAGGCTGATCTCCTTGTGAAAGGATCGCACCGATTCCTATAAACGAGGCATCCATTTCAACCTGAAAGGGCTTTTCAAAATCCAGCAGGGCAAGGACCGGGGTGGAACTAAGAACTGTCTTGATCATTTCAAAACTATTTTGTTGTTGTTCAATCCATTTGAAAATGGATGCTTTAAGACAATTTGTGATTGGCGTCATCAAAACACTAATTCCTGAAATAAACTGTCGATAAAAACTGGTGAGCCCATAGAAACTGTGAACATCAAACAATGACTTAGGCAGAGGCCAATCAAAAATTGTAGCAACCTTGCGTGGATCAATATACGCGCGTGCTTGTGAGATTATGACTAAGAAATGCATGCTAGAAGTGGCAAACTCATGCTCGGATAAATTAAGATATAACTTTTGATGTCGGAGGCTCTCAAAGATGCGTTTTAGTTAGGGGATGTGATCCAAAAGAGAGCGGCTAAAAACAAGAATGTCGTCAAAATATACCACACAATATTTTCCCAAAAAGGGCTTAAGTACTTCATTCATGAACCGCATAAATGTGGACGGGGCATTGCATAGCCCAGATGACATTATTCACCATTCATATAAGCCTTTTCTTTTCTTGAAGACAGACTTCCATTCATTGCCGGGTCGGATACAAATTTGATGATAGCCACTTCTCAAATCTAGTTTAGAAAAAACAACACTGCTAACTTATCCAAGTAGTCGTTAATTCCAGGTACTGAAAATCATTACTTCATTGTAATTTTATTAATGGTGCAACTGTCAATGCAAAGCCACCACTAGCCATCTTTCTTTGGAATAATCAGTGTTGGTACAACACAAGAACTAAGATTAGGCTGGATCAATTGTTTTCGTTGCAAATCATCCACAACTTCTTGTAGTATCGAATGCTTCTTTGGGCTCAAACAATAGTGATGAAGAAAGGTAGAGTGGCCTTTGGGGTAAGCTCAATTTGGTGTTGACTGGCACGAGTTACCACTAACTCGAGGGAAAATCTTTGGGGATGACATATGCGGAATTGTTCAACAACTTATGAACTTCTGGAGACCACTTAGAGGGTGCATGAGCTACTAACTTACCACTGTCATTCACAATCAGTGCAAGTATAACATCTTGGTTTAGTTCAGATTATAACAGAACTTTCCTTGTAACAAATTTAAGCTGTTGTTCGCCCCTTCTCAGTTTTCAAACTTGCATTAACTGACTGTGGGTATAATTACACATTATTCTTCCAATCAAAAGAATAAGTGTTAGTTTGACAATCATGAATAGCTCCTATGTCATATTACTATGGTCTCCCTAGGATGATGTGGCACACGTCCATGTCTAATATGTCACACGCTACTTCACAAGTATAATATTTATCAATAGAAAATACTACAAACACATCTCAGCAACCAAAATATTCATTTATCTTGACCCAACTGTTTTTATAAGGCTGCGAGTTCTTGGATGCCTTAAGCTAAAGTGCTTGGACTGCAAACTAAGAGATTTTGTTTTCGGTGCAACGACTAGCAATTAACAAGCCACACACCTTTTCATTAACTGTGCATCGTGTTTTGAATAGTGTGTTGCGTTGTGACGTGGTGGGTTGTCTCAGTGCTAGGTGTAACTTCTCCAAAAAATAAGCTAAGTATTCACCTTCGTCTCCATGCAGTTATACTTCTTCGATCTTTGATTGTTTGGGTTCTTGTTCCACAATTGCTGTGAGTCCCTCCTCGATTCTCCTTCAAGTACTTGAAGTTGTTGTCAATTTGGGCATTCATTAGAGTTATGACCTGATTGAAAAGACCTATAGCATTCGAGAGTGGATGGGTGGTATACAAATTTTCTCTAATTGGAGCTCTAGCCATTTTAGCCTATCTACAATGGGCTCTGATACCAATTTGCATAAGAAGCCTCTAAGAACACAATCCTGAGAATGGAGAACAATTCTATGTCAAAAACGAAAAACTCCCACAGTCCTTTGGACTCCGCTTTGTATGCTATTCTCTTACCCTCTTTGTACTAACTGAAAAAAAGTGTAAATGTAATGAACGACTGAAAGTAGTAAAAGCTACTAGTGAAGGCAGTGCTAAGTGTCGAAAAAGGTAAAGTGTTCCAGAGCGCACTGTAATATAATACTAAGATTATCCGCATCACATTTGCTGCACCTGTGAATCATGTTGGCCAATGGTGATGGCATCATAAAGCAAGTGGGTGCACGGGTGATGTTTTTCATATTGGATATTCGATGGGATTCTGGAGAAGAACTTATTCGGTGATGGAAAAAGATTATTGAGATCACTTGGAGAGGTAGAAAAAGCAGATGATGGAGAACAGGCTTAACATGTGAAGCGATGTAATGACACTTGAAGTCGTCAAAATAATACAATATTTAGATGTAGTTACATTAGGATACAATTGTCATTTCTAGGGTTGTTATTTAAAGAAGCCAAAATAATACAAGATCACTTGTTTATTGGGTTGCTTTCTCTCAAATAAGGAACATAACTCATAGAAATGATTTGTTTGTTCCTTGGAGAGAATTGTTTGCTTTAATTATTTATTCTTTGCCAATGGATGCCTAAAGATGTTCAATTTATTATTTTCATTTTTTATTGATGAAAATTGCTCATCTTTTTAGCTAATTCTATGGTAATTTTATGATTTGGCAAGCTTTTCAATTGGAATGCTCATTATAGCGAAGATATCTTGTTTACTTTTCAAAGCTGTTACAAGCATCCCTTACCTGAAAATGATGGATGTATTCATCTATAATTGCTAATGTTGGAAGGTTCAATTAACACCATAGAGATTTGATACACATATAAACCTTACATTTATTTTTGCCTTCATCTGCTTAGCCTGTTAAGATTTTCTTCTGTTCATTTTTTACCTACACATTCGGTTTAATTTAATTTTCCATTCTTACAGCTTCCTTGATTAGTGTCTGTTGAGGGTTGTCACCTTTTTTTTTAGCATGTTTTTACCATTCTTTAATCTTTATTTTCATTTCTGGAAGGTTTTTGCAGTTTGGTGGCTCACATTTTTTATATTCTTTCTTATGTTTAAGATTTGGTAGTTTTGACTGGCTAATGTGAAATAACTTGTAGCCCAATCTCATGGCTTTATATACAGTTACACCAATTTATTAGACATTATATGCTTCCTTCAAGTACCAACCTTGTACGATTTGTGGTTCCTAAATAGTCTTTCTTTAATAGTTATACTACTCCTTGCCAAGTTCTTCCAAATATTGCTGTCATGCCATATTTACATTTACATTTTTTGTTGATAGGTATCATGTTATTCTTATTGTTTTGATGTCTCCTATCCATGAATTATATTTTCTTAAAAATTCCTGAATCTTTTTTAACAGAGGAGAAGCAGCTGCCAAAATTGCTATTTGCTAGTTAGTGGCTCTTGATTGATGTGCCTTTTACGGCGCGTGTTCCCTGTTTATGCTGTTTTTATGATTACTAATCTACTACCATCCAATCAGATATGTTACTTTTTCAACGGAGGAAGAAGCACTTTCCTGTATTCAAGTTGTAAATGGTTACATTTTAGATGGTAGGCTTTTGAAGTGAGTTCCTATCCTATTGTTGATCATATCTTAGTTGCTTGTGGCATTTCTTTTATGTTCTTTTGTGTGCAGGGCGAGCTTTGGCACCACAAGATATTGCTATTCATGGTTGAATAATATTGTGAGTGCTATTCACCTATATGCATGTATATCAGTGCTAGGTCATTTGTATTACTAAAATATTTTCTTTTTCAGCCTTGTAAGAATTCTGATTGTTTATACGTTCATGATGTTGTTCCACGAGAAGATATTTGCTCAAGAGAAGAGGTGATTCAATTTTGTACAAGGTATTTTACAAGTGAATTACCTGAAAGCTTTTTCAAAGCTATCAGTTTGTAAAAAGAATTCAGGTCTCTTGCCCATAACCTCTTGCATGCCTTCTTTTCTTCTTATTAAGTGGTCCATATCTTCAATAGTATTGCAAAGCAGATGCACTAAATCGAAATAAGCAAATTCAAAACAAAATGCTTGGTTGTTGTAAGGTAAGACTAAGAAAGTAGATTTTTGTCTTTTTTCTCTTTTTCAGTTTAAAATCCAGAAGGTTTGAATACTGAAATTAAATACATTTTTCAGTGAAATGTTTTAGAAGTATATAAAATTGATAATAAGTTCCGTAGCTCATTTGAATTTGATTAATTTGACATAGGTGGTAGCTCGTTAATAAAAATTGTTGATGTTGACTGGTCTGAAAAATAGAAATTGTATGCTAGATTAATTGTATTATTAGTCCTCATTATAATTATCATTTTTAAAAGAAAAAAATTCAAGCCAAGTTTTTAACTTCGATCTACAATGTTGTTTAAGCTTTGCCAACGGTTATCTATTTATGGAAAATTTCTATACACATTCATTAAATTATGTACACAATTAATGTTGTTAAAGATTGCGCACATTTCAATTGGAAAATTTTCTATTAAAATTAAAGCGTACAATTAAAGAACCATCGCAATAAAAGAATTGTTTAGAAGCTTAACTTTGAATTATTTAAAATGTATCTGCATTGAAGAACAGTGAAGCAAACATCTTAATCACCCAGTGGCATGATCCTAAATAGTGCTGTTGTACTGAGCCAATTGTTTATGTGGTCTTTGCTTTTAACACTAAGAATATGCAATGAACTGTAACAAAGTTGGGATTTTTAAGTTTGTGGATTGCATGTGTGAAGGATTGTGGTTCCATTGACAATGCTTTAGGAGTTTGGAGAATCAATTTTTCTTTACAATGGTAATATCAGTAAAAAAAAGTTTGGGAAAAGTCAGAAGGTACTGTTTGCTGATGTAACAAACTTAATCGTTGATAAATAGTGATAAAATTATTTATATTATTTAAATGCAGTAGGTTTTTGATATCGGACATGCCAAGATCTAAGGTTAATGTTTTACATATGAGACTGCAAGAAGGTTGAAAACAAATGTGCAAATTAACTTACAATTTAGAATATTCTCTTCTTGATACATATAGAGAAAATGATCAAAATAATCCCTTGACTCTTTATGAAAAATGAAAATAGTCTCCAATTATTATAACAGATGATTTTGATCTCTTAACTCCTTAAAGAGGAACCAAAATAGTCCTGCCATGAGACTATTTTGATTCTTTTTTAAAGACTTGAAAGACCAAAATTATCCTTTAATATAGTTGAGGACCATTTAGATCATTCTTAAATAGTTAAGTGCCATTTTGGTTCTATTTTTTACATATATATGCAATCTTCTAAGTCAATACAACAACAACAACAACAAGAAGCCTTTATCCCACTATGTGGGGTCGGCTACATGAATCCTTTTTCTCCATTGTGTCCGATTGAGAGTTAAATTCTCATCTAAATCTAATAAAGAAATGTCATTTCTAATATTTTCTAACCAAACTTTTTTAGGTCTACCTCTACCTTATTAACATAAGTCAAATCTAATACATCTACTTTTCTAACCAAAATAGTCCTACCTGCTTGTTCTCTCATGCATCAATCGTTGCTACTTTCAGTACCTACACTCGGCTTGGCTTGCTCTGCCTGACCCTTGCACATCAATTTCATTGCTCCTTCAGCTTTACTTGTGATAACCCGTCTTTGCTTAACACTACCACATATGCTCCATGTATATTACAATTGCTGTCTCCATAGGGCATGATTTTTCTGATTTTCACCCCTCTAAATGATTTGAGTTTAGATTTCGTGTCTTTATCCTCAAGATGTCATGGCTTCTCCATCTCCGCTCATCAAGTCGAACCATTCTATGCTATCGGTATCGCCATCAAATTTAATAGTATCAATTATCTCAAATGGTCAAGGGTTTTTCATTTCCTTGTTGGTTCTCATGATAAACTTCAAGTCTTCAACATCTTATTGTTTATTCTTTGAGTTGAGATGACACCATCAAATTTTCTAAATGGTAAGTACCTTACTATATTGTCTTCACTTAGCTACTAGAACCATCCGTTGCATCGACTGTTATGTTCCAAGACATTGCCTAGAAGATGTTGGGCTTTGTTCCACCTATTGCTTGAAAATTAATCTATGATGTTTACGCTATATATTCTGAGCTGTTTTCTCTTCAAAAAAATGAGTTTATATCTTGGAATATTATAGTACATTTCAAGTAGGGGTGTCAATATTTGACACGACACGAAATCCCAACCTGGAAATTTCGGGTTGAACCCGACCCGTTTGAAAAAAATGGGTCGGGTTTGGGTTGACCTGACAGGTTGCCGGGTCAACCCGGAAACCCGTTTAGAATGAGTTGCCTGCGCTACCCGAGGGCTGCCCACACCTGCCCCGGCTACTCGCGCCCCGCCCCTGCCTGCTCGGGGCTACCGGCAATACCGCCAAGGCTGCTCTCGCCCTGCCCGAGGCTGCCCGTGCTGCGCAGCTGCCGCTCGTGCCCGCAGATGCTCGCGCCGTGCAGCTGTAGCTCGAGCTCGCGGATGCCCCCCTTGCCCGCTGCTTGCCCGCGTCCGTGTGCCCGCCTCTACTAGTTTATGGACTCGCAGGCCGAGCTTATCGAGCTCGTTTAGTAAATGAGCTCGAGCTTGATATGTCTTGGCTCGTAAGCTCGCGAGCCAGCTTGAATTATTTTAGGATTTTTAAAAAATTAGTGATTACTATTTTTATTAAATTTAAATCTTAAAAATAGAAAGAGCTGTAGTTAGTTAAAAAAAAATTAAACTACAGCTACTATTTATTACTCCATCTACAATTTAAAATTTTAACAGTTTCTTAGTTTTATTAAATTTAAATTTGCAACAATTTCCAAAAAGTTGCAGTAAAGCATTAATTACTCTAGCGGTTCAGCCGAAGTACATTCCCAAGAGAAGTTGTTGTTAGGGTTAAATGTTTTATACAAGAGAAAATAAAAAATGCAAGCAACTTTTTTTTATCCACAGGAAAAGCAAAGTTCCGCCATTTTGCGTGTGGAGGACCTGGAATAGGACGTCTCTGGCCTGTTGGCCGAAAAACCAGGTGGGAAACTGCGAATGGAGGACGATAAACCAAATCGAACGTCTTGACGAGCGGCTCGACAGCTCGTTTCTATGTTGCGAGTCGAGCTCGAGCTCAACTTTTAAGCTCGACTCAAGTTCGAGCTCGGTATTTGACTGACAAGTCGGGCTTCAACTTCCTCCGACTCGAGCTCGACTCAACTCGTTTACACCCCTAATTGCAAATAACGTGAGTTGAGCTTCCATTATGGATAATTTAACTCCTCTTTGACAATTGTTAGTGCTCTGACTTCTAAATTCTCTTCTGATTGCTCTTTCACTGTATCCACAATTGATATGTATTTTTTGTTAGGAAAGAAGTACCTTTATCAAGTGGAAAGTATGATAAATCACGAAGTTATTACAAAAGATATCATGCATCATAAAAGAAAGTACCAATAGTTTACTTTGTTTGACTAACTAAACTTATATCCATTGTTGCACAATGATTGAATTATCCACTATACTTCAAGAGGAGTACACGAATGATTACACTTAATATAAATTTAACTATATAGACAATGATATTACTTTATCTAGCTTGGAGAAAATGCAGTTACGTGCTTTGGTGCTGTGAAAATGAGCGATGGACATTAATAAGATATTGTTGGGCTTGTTACTCTCTTCACCTCTCTAATACAGTAGTTCAAATCAGAACTATTCCTTGTTATGATCAAGAGTTTCTTCTCATATGAGAGTTGTATAGTAACACTTCATCTTGCTTGAAGAAACTGAAGATTTGTAAGCACAGGAAAAAACTTCTTCCTTATTTTCTGTGATGACACTCCTCTCATTTCTCTTCTTCTTCCTCTTCTCTTTTTGTTGCTTCTTGTTGTGAGATACGTATATATAATGAATGCAAACATTTCTTTATATGATATGCTTAGACATGACAAATATCAAGCTAGAATTTAGTAGTCACCATATTGGATAAATAAATGTGAATGAATTAATGTTGTTTTTGGTAAGCCATAATTTTGGGAAACCAAATATGAATGGAGTTGTGTAGCCACCATCTTTAAAATTCAATTGTGAATTAATCTTAAGTTGGTTGTTACTAATTTTGTAAAATCAATATCAAATTTTATCTAAGATGGTGAAATTTGATAATTTCAAAACTGGTTGTTTAGTATTGGTATTGAAAATAGGATATATCATTAAATGACTTATGTAATACTGGATATCTGATCGAAAGAAGCAGCTGAAGTTGTTGCTTCATTTCTTCTTTTCACATCAATTCAATATGCAGCTTTCCAGTTTTGATTAATTCATTCACAATTTTTTTATATAGTTTGATGTATTTGCGACACCTGAAAAGCCTTAAATTTCCATCAACTTGAAAAATGTATAATATAAAAACAACAAACTACTATCCATTTACTTAGAAACTCCAGTTGCATATATTTGATTTTTAATTGACAATGTATTAACACTCCACAAGGAATTTTAATACACTTAGTATGAGGCTGCATGAGGGAGCAGGAATGCTACAAAAATTCAGATATTTTTTTTGTTTAATTTCGATGTAGAAAAATGATCTATATCAGAAGGGGTGATACTTCTTGCCTGAGCTCTTCCTAATTTTTTGTGTTGGATCCATGACTTTTATCTTTTTTCCGAAATGAAAAAATTGTTCTATTTGAATCTTTTGCTTTTATTGTGATTGCTCAAGTAAATGACATTTCTTCCTGAAACCATTTGACTTTTCTTGTCATTGCACCAGTAAACTTCAGCAATGTCCAGGGGTTGCATTTGCTAATGTCAAACAACATTCAGGAAGTTCCTTACCTCCACCGCTAGGGACAAAGAATTCGCTTCAGCTATTGGTAACTTGACTAAATCTCTTCAGAACCGTTTTATCTTTATACATTCTTTTTATGTATTTGATTAATTGCTTTTATATCTCATACAACATTCTGATCTGCTGGCTTAAAACCAATTGTGATTGCAATTTCAGCCATTCAACCTTTTCAGAACAAATGATACAGAACTTCCCTCTACCAAGCTTATATATATTTTTTCCATTTTATCATGCAGGGTCATATGACCAACAATAGGTACATACAAAGTGATGATTTTGGCAGGTATGACACCATTCTTGTTAACATCTTTGTAGTAAAAAGTTAATGTTTTATTTCTTTACCATTTACATTTGTCATGCTTTTGTGCTGACTTGAAAATAATCTCTGATAGGTCTTACGCCAGTGTTGCAGCTTCACACGGTCAATCAAAGCCTTCCAGTGGGGCAGAAGCATACTTTCCATCAAATGCCGAGGATCATAACCATGTTAGCAACGCAGTTTCTTCATCAAGAAATGAAATGCCACTCTCTCTCTCTCTTGCAATGCCATTAGATGGGATTTGCCACTCAGAAAATACTTGTTCGCTTGATTGCAAAACTGCTACTGGAACTAATCTTGTGGCAGAGGATAACAAATGCCGGTCATCTTTTCGTGACGATCCCATGTCCGAGGGAATTGTTGGAGAACCATTCTTTTCCCACTCACATGGAAACAGTCAGTTATCAACAAGTCAAGCAAATGTGAGGACTCATGCTGCTGCCACTAGCATTAATTCCTTGGCTAATATAAGCAAGTGGAAGTGTGAATCTTTGGGAAGTGTTGCCAAAAACAGTTTTTCTGAATGGGATGACTTGGGTGCTTTTTCCAGAAAATGTGATTCCTTTTTAAGTTTACAAACATTACCGGGTAACTCCACATCAACTCCGCAGAATGCTCTTCCTTCATATGATTGGTCCAGGTTTCATTCAGATTTAGACTCTGCAAAATTCAGCTATAGCTTTGAAGATGAAAGCCGTCCCGCTCCCTTCAGCAAAGAGTTAAAGGATTTCTCCACTTGTTCCACAATTGCTACAAACTTGTGCCATAAATTCGATAAGCCTTCATCAATTTTGCCTGCAAAACCTATGCTGATTCATGGCGAACAGAAAAAATTGTGCAGCAGACCTTCAAGTAATAGTAGCTTGGATTTTGAGTTTACGGCTATTGATAAGACTAGAGATGAGAAATTCTTGATTGAATCCTATATTGGGCAATATGAAGATAGGATTTTATCGTACATTTTAACTCGGGATCATGATACAATTGATGATCTAGGTAACAAACACTCTATTTTAGAGCAGCTTGGTAGTTCTGATGACTTTTCAAGAATATCGAACTCTTCAGTACCATCTGCTAGGGATGCTTCGAAATCTTATTTTTCAATGGAGGATTTTTGTGGTGCTATTGAGCAATTATCTCCATGGTCTAATAGCGCTTCTGATCTAACCAAGAACTCTTCTTGCTCTGAAATGATGGCAGAGGAACAAGCCTACATGAAGGATTCATTCAATAAATCTTATCTTGAAACATCAAAGACTTCTAAGGTTCTCAACAATACTAGTCTTGTTTCTGATACTGTGCTGGTTAGTGAATTTGGAAGTTCATCGGGTATGCATCACTCTGGTAATCTCATATTATTTCCGTTATTTTCAGTTGATTGATTATTTATGAGTTGATGATCTTATATTATTCATGGTTAATGTTGGCCATTTTAGTTCATGGCTCGTATTTTGCCAAATGTTCTGTTCTTGAGGCGCCAAGTATCTTTCGGCTATTTCTAACGTGTTTGAACTATCCTCTTTTGTCTTTTGTTAGGCAATGATACATTGCTGGCCAGTGTTTCCAGAATTTATTGTTAATTCGCCATCCTGATTTTTTTTTCTGTTGGATAAACTAACACTCAATTGACTGCTTTGTGCATTGTTGTTTGAAAACGGAATTCCTTGTCACACTCCTAGTTTGAGTGGTTGCCATGGAACATTTTTTTGATATGCAATGCTGCTTAGTACTTGAAGCCTCTCTTTCCTCATTAATATTTCTATTCAGTTTCACATCTAGGTTACCGACATTGTTTTATTTGATAAATAATGTGAAATTTTGATTATTAAGATACTTAACAAAAGATATTTAAAGTGAGATTGGTGTTGACTTAAACAAATAATAATAAAAAATAAAAATAGAAAATTCAAACAAAAGAAGCAACACACTTGCCTCCGAGCCGACCCCACTTTGCACGGTCTATTCCTAAAGACGCAATGGTTGATTTATGTAACTTCCTTTACGGCACAAAACAACCCCTACTTGCTCCTTGTTGATTCAAAAAAATAGACACACAAAACAGCTCTACCCTTCCGTATGCTCTTTCAGTCGCTTAGTCGCAAGTCCTTTGTCCCGTTCGCAAGCGCAATTTTGTGCCTCCCATTCGTCTCAAACCCGGTCCCAGGCCGCACTCAACATTGCCTACATAACACAAAAGCCTACTCTCCCTCTCTGTTCCGCAGGAGCCTACATTAGTGCTGGACCCTTGCTCATCTGCAACCCAACCCCAACTTCTTGCACTTCAATTGCAAGCAATACTCATGCAATCTCTGCGTATGACTCCTCCCATCCTGCCACACTCTGTTGTGCTTGCACAAACTGATCTTGCACGGCCAAAGCTCATTCGCACAATTAACTCGTCTCGACTCCTATCCGACCTTCCTCTTTCCCATTCTTTCTATACCACAAGACGAATACCTGATCCATTCACCCTGGGCCCATATCACACGCCTGACGACCCACAGCCTAAGCCCATCGACTCCGACCCTGTCATCCTGATATGCTTACTCTATCTAGCTTGTCGCCTATGCGACCAGACTTATGTTAGTCACTCACACAACCCTTGGTCAAATATTGCTTTCATTTCTCCAACCTCGATGAAAAAAGATTAAAAAAATATACATATATAAAAGAAAATGAGCAAAGTAAACAAACATCTGATTTGAAGCCCTGCGTTGTGATCTTTGATCCGGGCTGTAGAATTTTCAATTTGAAGGCCTCACACCGTGATCTTTGATTCGGGTGGGAATAACTAACGACAAGTGCCGTCCCAACCTCCTCTCATGAGGAAGGGGGCACCGGAAGGTTGCCAGATTTTATGGAAAATTTATATTTTTTAATCCTAAAGCTATATAAAATTACAAAGAATAGGTATTCAACTCCAAGACCCTACGCCATTGATCTAGGTAGAATGGTTTTAAAATCAAAGGCCCTACATCGTTGATCTTTGATTCGGGTGGGATAAATTTTATACTCAAAGACTTCGCACCGTTGATCTTTGATCCTAGAGGGAAGAACCAATGACAAGTGTCGCCCTGACCTCCCCTCGCGAGGAGGGGGCGCCAAGAGGCTGCCGCAATTTCGCGGAAGATGGCCAAAAATGCCTTTTGGAGCAATTGGAGAGCATTTAAAAATTAATTTATTAATTAAATTTTTGATTAATTAATTAATTAAAAATGCATTACAATTAGATCTTCTTTTAATTGGTTAATTAATTAAATTAAAATTCCTTTTTAATTAATTAACTAATTAATTAAAATCAAAATGCAATTGAAACGGAGTAAACAAAAGAGCAGGAAAAAATCAAACAATGTTTGCAATAAAGTTCTCCCTGTATATCTCAAATTCCAAACTCAAAGAAAATACCAAACTCTTAAAACTCTCCATACTCCACACATACTTAGACTCTACAAACAAAATTGTAAGCTTTGAGCAAAACTTTAAAGCTCATGTTCGAGCTCCCCAATGCTCTAAACAAGCTACTGCAGGTGCAATGCTTGAAATACCTGCAAACAAAGAACCAAAAGACAGTACTGGGTGTTGTAAATCAAAATTGCAGTGCAAGCTGTAAAATAAACTACAGTGTAAGAAAAGAGAAGAAAAGGAAACAAACTGCTATGCAAGAAAGCTAAATACTATAAATACTAGAACTAAAAGCAATGCTGAAACAAGAAAAAGAAACTACTGAAACCAAAGACACTAGTGTCGGGCCAGTAGAAAAGTGTAAACTAAAGTATTTGCTATCTAATCTACTCTAAACAAACAAACAACCTCCCAAACATAAGGGCTACTTCCAAAGAGAAGTAGTAAGTCCCGTTTTAAAACAAAACAAACATATAAGTTTCAAAGGAAGTCATAAGACCTATCAACCAAATTCAAACAATCGAGCTGTAAGATCCATCTACATGCAAATTCTAAAGGAGTCATAAGACTTGTCAATCAAATTCAAACAAATCCGACATTCTTGCTATTGAATGTTGTAAGACCTATCTACAAACAACTTTTAAGGGAGTCATAAGATTTGTCAACCAAATTCAAACAAATTGACAGCTTAGCACATAGGACTAGGTTGTAAGACCAACTATTAGGCTACTTCTAAGGAAAGTCATAAGACCTATTCAAACCAAACAAACGGGCAGCATAGCCTATAGGGCTAGGTTGTCAGACGCACACCATCAGACAACTTTTAAGTGAAGTCGTAAGATCTATACGTTAGAGAAACTTCTAAGTGAAATGCATCAGCCCTAAAAATTTAAACTAAACTAACGGGCAACCTTGCTATAGAGCTAGGTTGTAAGACCCATCTATAGGCAACTTCTAAGGGTGTCATATGACCTTTCAACCAAATTCAAACAAATGGGCAGCTTAGTTTATAAGGCTAAGCTGTAAGACCCACCTATGTGTCATTTCTAAATGAAGTTGTAGGACCCACACGTTATAAACTTTTAAGTGAAGTAAAACAACCCTAAAACTCAAACAAAAAATTGTAGGTAACTTTCAATGAAAGTCGTAAGACCCATCTAAATGAACCTACAGTCAACTTGTAAGGGAATGTGGAAGACCTACCCAAATAATCAAAACCAATGGATAACATAGCCTATAGGACTAGGTTGTAAGACCCACCAATAGACAACTTCTAACTGAAGCCGTAAGATTCATACATTATGGAAACTTCTAAATGAAGTGCAATAACCTTAAAAATTCAAACTAAACTAACAAACATCTTAATATATAGGGCTAAGTTTTAAGACCCACTATTAGGAAACTTCTAAGGAAATTCGTAAAACATATTCAAACCAAACAAACGGGCAGCATAGCCTATAGGGCTAGATTGTCAAACTCACCATCGGACAACTTTTAAGTGAAATCATAAGACCTATATGTTAGAGAAACTTCTAAGTGAAATGCAACAATCCTACAAACAACAAACTGTAGGTAACTTTCAATGAAAGTCGTAAGACCCATCTAAATGAACCTATAGTCAACTTCTAAGGGAATGCATAAGACCTACCCAAACAATCAAAACCAACGGACAACTTAGCCTATAGGACTAGGTTATAAGACCTACCAACAGATAACTTCTAACTGAAGTCGTAAGATTCATACATTAGGGAAACTTCTAAATGAAGTGCAATAACCTTAAAAATTCAAACTAAACTAACAGACATCTTAGCATATAGGGCTAGGTTGTAAGACCCATAATTGGGTAACTTCTACGGGTTGTCAGACTCACCATCGGATAACTTTTAAGTGAAGTCGTAAGACCTATACGTTAGAGAAACTTCTAAGTGAAATGCAACAATCCTACAAACAACAAATTGTAGGTAACTTTCAATGAAAGTCGTAAGACCCATCTAAATGAACCTACAATCAACTTCTAAGGGAATGCGTAAGACCTACCGAAACAATCAAAACCAACGGACAACTTAGCCTATAGGACTAGGTTGTAAGACCTACCAATAGACAACTTCTAACTGAAGTCGTAAGATTCATACATTAGGGATAAAACCCATAATTGAGTAACTTCTACGGGAAGTCGTAAAACATATTCAAACCAAATAAACGGGTCACTTAGTCTATAGGGTTAGATTGTAAAACCTTCCAGTAGGTTGCTTCTAAATTTAGAAATTGTAAGACTTATCAAAATTGGTCAGGCATCTTCCAAATAAAGTTGTAAGGCCTACTATTTGGGGTACTTCGTGCTCATGTGAAATAAGGACTTAGATCTAACTAAACCTGGATACTACCCTTAGGAAAAATTGGATTAACTACAATATGACTTAAGGGAATAGAATCCAATATCTGCAAAGCGAGATTCATGTCAATGCGTCATTTTTTTTAGTCAACAATAGGTACTTCAGTGTAAGTTTTTAAATGGTTGTAAATTCATTGAAATAAATGATAATTTAGAACAATGGAGGTAATGATTAGATGATAAGAGATTTAAGATTAAAAGAACAATGACTGCTTATACAATCATCATCATCATAAACCTTAAGCCAATTATTTGAATTTTACTTTACGAATCCTCATTATCCTTTTATTCTTTCTAAGTGGCGCATGGTGTGTTAAACTTTTAATGTATAATTTTTTTTGTATGCAACTTCTATCCATGTTATCTTTTGACTGCCCAATTTTCCTTCTTTTTTTTACCAGAATTTAGTTACCTTATTGTTGTAATTGGTATTTTTCTTTGTTCATGTCCAAATTGCTTAAGTTTACTTTTTATGACTTTATCTTCAATAGTTGATACTTTAACCGTTTAACCTTTACTCCAACATAATCATTCATAATTTTTTTTTAAA